CATCACTGAGGACCTGACGTGGACTCATCACTGAGGACCTGACGTGGACTCCTCACACCACCACCATCACCAAAACAGCTCAACAGCGGCTGCTCTTCCTCCACAGGCTGAGGAGGTTCAACATGGACTCCAGAATACTCTGCAACTTCTACAGGTGGTGCACCATAGAGAGGACACTGACCTTCTACAGGTGCACCACAGAGAGGATCCTGACCTTCTACAGGTGCACCATAGAGAGGATCCTGACCTTCTACAGGTGCACCATAGAGAGGACCCTGACCTTCTACAGGTGCACCATAGAGAGGATCCTGACCTTCTACAGGTGCACCATAGAGAGCATCCTGACCTTCTACAGGTGCACCACAGAGAGGATCCTGACCTTCTACAGGTGCACCATAGAGAGGATCCTGACCTTCTACAGGTGCACCATAGAGAGGATCCTGACCTTCTACAGGTGCACCATAGAGAGGACCCTGACCTTCTACAGGTGCACCATAGAGAGGATCCTGACCTTCTACAGGTGCACCATAGAGAGGATCCTGACCTTCTACAGGTGCACCTTATGGCGCGTTTCCACTGCAGCGTGTAACTCGCTTTAAGCGTGCCGAGCCGTGCGGGGCCCGTTTTTGGTTGCGTTTCCACTTGGCCTAGTTTTGGCCCGGGGCTACTTTTTCACCTTTTTTCTGGCCCGACTAAATCGTGGTTCTAGGGCCAGGAACAACCAGGCTGAGTATGCTAAACTAGAGAGAGAATCGCTGGCAAGGGGGCTACAACTACAACAAGATGAACATATTTGACCGTGATTTAATTGTAATACACGTTTCAAAATGATGCCGAAGTAACAACATACTGATACCGGTTAGTAAAAACCATGAATTAATGCTTTGACAAGTCTGCAGACAGACGGCAGGCGAAAAACCCTTTTAGAATGCTTGTTTTCTAAATGGAGCTTGGCTAAGCTAACGTTATATATGCTCCGACCGTCCACACTCACAACAACGGCCTATACAGACATAAATAAACCAGCGACTGTATTCGCCATGACACAGACAGTCTGTGGTTTGTACTTGTTTAACTTTTGTCTAGTTTCTGAACAGATATGAGGAGCTGTGAGCTCTGAGTGCTAAGAGCTAACGGCTGTGTTGTTTTTTGGGGTGCTCATTGAAGATGACGTCACGGCTCCGCCTACACTGCGTTACTATAGTAACTACCCCAGTTCCTAAACTGTAATGGAAGCACAGCATTAAAGTGAGCCAGGCCTAATAAGGCCTAACCAAACCGAGCGAGGCCTGCAGTGGAAACGCGCCAATAGAGGATCCTGACCTTCTACAGGTGCACCATAGAGAGGATCCTGACCTTCTACAGGTGCACCATAGAGAGCATCCTGACCTTCTACAGGTGCACCATAGAGAGGATCCTGACCTTCTACAGGTGCTCCATAGAGAGCATCCTGACCTTCTACAGGTGCACCATAGAGAGGATCCTCACCTTCTACAGGTGCACCACAGAGAGGATCCTGACATTCTACAGGTGCTCCATAGAGAGGATCCTGACCTTCTACAGGTGCACCATAGAGAGGATCCTCACCTTCTACAGGTGCACCACAGAGAGGATCCTGACATTCTACAGGTGCACCATAGAGAGGATCCTGACCTTCTACAGGTGCACCATAGAGAGGATCCTGACCTTCTACAGGTGCACCATAGAGAGGATCCTGACCTTCTACAGGTGCACCATAGAGAGGATCCTGACCTCCTACATGTGCTCCATAGAGAGGATCCTGACCTTCTACAGGTGCACCATAGAGAGCATCCTGACCTTCTACAGGTGCACCACAGAGAGGATCCTGACCTTCTACAGGTGCACCATAGAGAGCATCCTGACCTTCTACAGGTGCTCCATAGAGAGCATCCTGACCTTCTACAGGTGCACCATAGAGAGCATCCTGACTGGCTGCATCACGGCCTGGTACAGCAGCTGCACCGCCCTCAATCGTAAGGCTTTACAGAGGGTGGTGAAAACTGCACAGCACATCACCAGGACGGAGCTGCCATCCATGGAGGACCTTTACTCCCAGCGGCTCAGGAAGAAAGCCCTCAGGATTATAAAAGACCTCCATCACCCCAGCCACAAACTGTTCTGTCTGCTGCCGTCTGGCAGGCGTTACCGCAGCATCAGGACTAAAACCACCAGACTATACCTGTGTACTCACATATTCCGATTAACCCAGCTTCCTCAAATGTCTTTCTTTTTGGTGTCTATATACGCCGGGATCCGGAGTCATGGATGATCCTGTTGCTGCGGTCATGTGTCCTGGATCGTGAGCCCTGGATCTTGAGTCGTGGCTGTGGTCCTGGATGGATATCCTCGTGGATTCATCTTCCTATTATATACACATGCATTTCCAAACATTTGGACTACCTATGTTGCAAATATATTATCTTTTCAATTTACACACGTCTGTCTGTCCGTCCTGGGCAACACACTCACTCCATAATCGTCCAGGAGCAACGCTTGGTCAGGGTCCTGTGGCGTGCAGTTGTGACGCTCCTAAGATTTTCATCGTCATAACTACACTGTAGCTATGTTCGTATGACAAATAAAAAAACCTTGAAACACACACACACACACACACGGGAAGATTTGTCTCCCAGAGAAACATCTGTTAGTGATAATCCCTGCTGCTTGATTGGGTGACCCACTGGCCTGCCTTAATGTTAGAGCTCTGAGATGAGACTGCGGTCCTTCTTTACCGCAAGTTTTGTGTGAACAAACTGCATGTGATCGCACTGTCACATCACAGATACGCTTGAATTGAAAATGCCAGATGGATTTGTAGGACTACCACGCCCACTGGTGTGTGACACATTAGGCTTGCATGGCAGAATGGATTAAGATTATGGTTAAAGACCGGGTTGGGAAAAGATTTGTTTGGGTGACTTACAGAAGATTTGAACACTTCTTCAACATTAAGAAACTATCATTGGTCATTAATACTGATGCAAACTAAACACTTTTCTTATAAGTAGTGAGCATTTTCCAAAGCCCAAGCTACCTATGTTTAAGTTGCTTGTGTTATCTGACTATTCATCAGAAAATAAGAACTAATATTTGAATGTTAATTCTCTGTCAATCTGGATATAAAAACTTAAGTGTATTATGAAATATCCCAGATAATATCTTGTTGCATGTTACAATGTGTGTATTAATAGATATCCCTCCACCTTCTCTAGCATGACGAGTGCTCACTCCCTCCATAGATGAAATACATTTCTGTGATGTTTACACATGCTCTTGTGATTTTGTTGCTATACATTTAATTATGAGCTCATTGCCTTTTTCATATGGAATTATTTCTCTCTCTCCTCACTTGTTGATACTGCTCTTGAATGCAAAAATGCCCAGCATATTTAGCGTGGTATAACAACTGTGTGCCTACAATGTACACCAAAACTGATTGCACTCACAGATAAGCCAATGAGGTCAGCAGAAAGAGGAAGTTATCTGAAGGAAAACTGCACCTCTGCAGTGAGATAAAGAATTATGAATATGACATTTGGTAGATTCAGTCTCTCGATACTTTCTGTATATTCATGCAGAAGATGTGAAGATGAAGGTTGTCCTTTTTTGCAGCCGTCTGACAGCATTCTGTCATCTCTCCCTCTGAGATTGTGGAAGCTGAAAGTATTAGAGGAGGATTTCACTCTCCCTCAAGAGCGCTGTAAATGTAGTTTGACATTCCTGCAGAGGGTTAATGAATTACACAAAGGAGGGCTACACTACAACAACACTTTAATCTGCCCTCGGTTTATGACTGTTTTCTTGTCAATTCAAACGCCCTTTCACAGCTTGTTTAAAAAAAAATATATATATATCCCCACCTTATATATAATTTTTTCATGAATTTCCCAGAAAAAGGCTAATTATGCCTGTTTGTTAAACGTGCTATTTATGCTTCCACTCTGCAGTTCAAACGAAGTTAGGCCTGAATTTACCCAGGCTTTACCCTTAATTGTAACATTGGACATTTCAAGGGAGAGCAGAGATTATCTGAGGGAAATGTCTCAATCCACAGGGAATATGTGGTTTTGCCCCAATAACGTTGTTTACGCAGCACTTGAGACATTGGTTCCATCAGTTTAGAGCTCGGTTTATGATTATTTTCACTCTTTGTTGACATTCACTAAACTCCACTGACCCTGTCAAACTGAAACATAATACCTCAGAAATGTTCCTTACATTTGGCCTCTGGTATATTTCTTTTATATTTTCCTATGATGCCTGGATTCTATGTTTGGCCTCCACTCAAAGGCAACCTAGACAAAGTGTTTTAACACACCCGGTTGGATCTCTGGTTGGGATCAGCTGTAATCGGACACGGAAAAAGGGGCATTTTACAAGAGACTCCTTCATTTATGGATGTTGTGTCGGTAGGTTTCACCTGCAATTCATTTGTGTGAATGCAGAACATGTGATTGTATCAAGGTAATGAAAAGACTAGCTACAGTAAATCTCCTGCTGCTCTTTGAGTTGTAATGTTTTAGCCAATGAAAGCAGTTATTTTTATATGGCTTTTTTAAAAATACTATTTTACATTACAACCAGATGTTTTAGGCTATCATTTTCTCAAAAAGTCACAGGCTAGGATTCCAAACCTCAAGTGCAGTGTGTTCTTAGTACATAGTAATTAGTTCTTCGTTTAGTGAAAACCAACCCCAGAGCGTGGGGAAGGTAAACTATGGCAGATTTCCTCACTCTGTTCAGGGCCCAGAAACGTTATAATGTATAGTAGGACACATTTCTGCAGTTTCCTTACTCATCACAGTCATGGAAACGACGTGAATTGACAGATGGAACATAAAGGAGGCAGCCATAAAACATACATGAAGTAACATTAGTTCTTCATTGTAATGTTTTTAATCACACTAGGTTGTTAATAAACTGGCTTGTTCTGCATTCTAATGAAAAAAAGATAAATTCTTCCCTGTTTTTTCTTTCAGCCAAAATCTATTGGACAGTTCCTGCTCACTGAGGTTTTCCTGAGAGGCAACCTCATAGAGAGCGATTACTTTGGCCTGGAGTTTCAGAACATGCAGATGAACTGGGTATGTACCAGAAACTGTTTCCTTTCTTTCCTAATGGGAAAACGAAACAATTATTCTCCAGGAACTAACGTACAAATTGGTTATTAGTGTCAGTTAAGTGCCGACCATCAAAGGCAGTCAGTAGGCCAAAGTTTGTTTATAATGCGATTTGCCCTTAGGCCTGTACTACAAAGCCAGTTCAACATATCCTGGATTTCTTTGTTTAATCTATTAGCCAACCCTAACAAACACCATCCCGCTAACCCAGGGGTGGGCAAACCTTTTGGCTCGGGGGGCCACTATGAGTTTTAAAATTTGACAGATGGGCCGGGCCAGTAGCAGATCGGTGAAAAGATATTTAGCTGTCCACTCCTCATTAAACACTCGGCACTCAATGTTGACTTTTCTTTTTTTTGGTCCACCCATTGTTACAGATGCAGGTTCAGAGGTGAATTATTGCGTCATCGTTTGCGTCATGACGTAACTGTTTACGTGCCTTCTTATGACCCACACAGCGTTTTATGTCGCTGATTTTCTCCGCAACACCGCTCACAACAACATCAATAGAGGACTGCGTCTGGTAGTTTTTAATTATACGAAGCCAGATTAAATTAAATAACTACTTCTACAACCTTATACCTTTCTCCAGAGTGCCGTGGTGCATTGTTTATTAATGTGGTTCAGCTGCATTACCGACCGCTGCAGTGCTGCTCGTCTACCGGAGTTTATTCTCCCGTTAACTCGCGGCAGCGGCCGCTGTAAAGTTTTCATTGTCTGACTGTCACACAAGCAGCTGATAAATATCCCCCATCCCCATAAGTGAATGTGTTTTAGTCTGAAAGCTGTTGGCATCACAACGCTGTTATGAATGTTTCTCTGGCATTCTACAGGTGATGTTAGCTAATCAGACTATCTTGACTACTTGTTGCTATCATATTGTGGCATAAGCCGTTTTCTACATGCATATTTTACCAGCGTAGTTTTCGTTATGATTTTACTTGTGATGGCCACATGTAGCCCATGTATTGATTCCATCCGATAGCTGCAATAATACAAAACAACAGGAAAACGACTGCCTCTTCACAATGGTCAATAACAGCGAACGGATGGTTATTAAAGTAAGGTAACATTAACAGAATCACACTAAGCCTGGCTTAAGCCTGCCTGACTTTATATAAGTGTTTTTTATAAGTGTGTGGTCGCGTTCTAGTCACTTTGCTCAGCGCTACTGCTTGTTACAACTTGTATTCGCCGTACTCGCCATGAACTGTTATTGCTCAGGTTAATCTCGCCCCCTGCAATGTAAGCGTGACGTATTTGGTTCTTAGATCTTGCCGGGTTGCCGGAGAATAGACCATACTCCAGCAAAGGTCAATTGTGTAGTGCGCCATCTAGTGGGATCAACTGAAATGCCGGGTATTGCAGGAAAAAGGCAAAATGAATGCGGTCTTTACTATCATTTGGACAATTTTGTACCAATATTCGGCAGGCCGGATTCAAAAGTCCAACAGGCCGTATATGGCCCGCGGGCCTTAGTTTGCCCATGCCTGTGCTAACCTGTACTAGGACGCTGGTTATCAACTTGGTTAGTCAACCCAGGGTTTTCTCAGTGTGGCTAAGTGAGTTCACATGAAAGGGGGAGGCATTTGACCAATCACAAACATGGACAAGCTCACTGTCAGCAGAGTGTTATATTTAATAAATGAAGAGTAAACTATAATAGCAGACAATTACAAAATGAAACCTTATACATCCATGAGTTAGACACATCATCCAGGCATAAAGCAATATAGCTGCAAAATTCAGTAAAAATATTTAACTGTTTATAATATCACTGTTTCAGATCTTACTTTAATTACAAAACATATAGTCTATTATTAATATTATTATTATTATTATTATTATAATCCTCAGAAATGAATATTAAAAAAACCATAATTGAATGTGATGAGCAGGTTTACGTTAATACCTTTTTTTAAAGTTCATCAAATAAGCAGCATAATCTAATGTGTGTAGTTTATTTTTCCCGTTTCATATATCTTTTTCTGTCTAGCATCTACTGCCCGGTGTGTGTGCTTTTGTAAAGCTATTTCTAAGTCTTTAAATTACTCATGGAATTCATAAAATAAAGTAACACTTATACTGCATACAGTCTGCAGCACTAATGCCCAATCTGACCTATTTCAACATAAGGCTCATAAAGCTGACGCAGACAAGTGATAGGTGTGACACGTCTCTCCTGCAGACTGAACGCATTGTTCCGTTTTATTTTGCTACAGTTACTATTTGCTGTGGGTGATCATAAGACATTGAAGTAAGCCTGCTTACCGCAAATGTAACTACAGCTTCCTGCACAGCTGGGCAGTAATATTAATATTCATTTACACATCCACACAGTAAATCAGGGATTTATTGACAAACCGTTCCTTCTGCATTTTCCAGTTTAAACTGTGTTAATTTAGCTTGAAATACACATGTTTTTGTCATTGTGTAACTCCATTTACTTTTTTCATCTTTCATCTGAAACATAACCGGCTAGGTAGCAGGTCAGGTGTTCAGCATAAATTACCATGGCAATCTATCCCGGTAAGAAGTGAACCACAGTCGTAGCCGTAGGACTGAAAACCAGCATATTGAACCCTGAAGTCACTCTGTTACCCTAATTCCTGCTTTGTAGTACAGGCCACACTCCTCATTTCTCATTTGCTCTTCTTTATCTTTCTACAGCAATGCAAACAGTGTGTAATGTTTTTACTGGAGTTGAGCGGAATATCCTACTATTATAGTAATATTACAGTCCTCCAGCATACTTGTGCATATAGAAGTCAGACCTTCCAGTGTTTTATTCTTCCAAAAACAAAAGTTGAATTCAAGACCACCTACTGGTTTTTATTTATTTATTTTATAAAGAGACCGAACAGAAATAATGCAGTGCGTTCTTTTCAAAGAGAAAAATAACCGGTGTTAACCCACTGGCGTTGTCTGCTTCTGCCCACAGCATTTGCCACATCACTCTACTACCATAGAGACGCTGACATATAATCACTGTATGAATGGAGTCACTATTGGAAGAGTTGTCACAATCGGCTAAATTCTTGAAAATGATTGTCTTAATGTGGAGTTGATGCAAATTCTTTCTTTTCAGGTTTGGCTGGAAGCCACGAAGCTGGTGGTGAGACAAGTCAGAAGTAAGTGAGCTTAAGGTGTGTGTGTGTGTGTGTGTGTGTGTGTGGTGTGTGTGTGTGTGTGTGTGTGTGTGTGTGTGTGTGTGTGTGTGTGTGTGTGTGTGTGTGTGTGTGTGTGTGTGTGTGTGTGTGTGTGTGTGTGTGTGTGTGTGTGTGTGTGTGTGTGTGTGTGTGTGTGTGTGTGTGTGTGTGTGTGTGTGTGTGTGTGTGTGTGTGTGTGTGTGTGTGTGTGTGTGTGTGTGTGTGTGTGATGTGTGTGTGTGTTGTGTGTGTGTGTGTGTGTGTGTGTGTGTGTGTGTGTGTGTGTGTGTGTGTGTGTGTGTGTGTGTGTGTTCGTCTCGTGTGTGTGTGTGTGTTCGTATCGTGTTCGTATCGTGTGTGTGTTCGTATCGTGTTCGTGTTCGTATCGTGTGTTCGTATCGTGTTCGTGTTCGTATCGTGTGTTCGTATCGTGTTCGTGTTCGTATCATCTGTGTGTGTGTTCGTATCGTGTGTGTGTTCGTATCGTGTGTGTGTTCGTATCATCTGTGTGTGTGTTCGTATCGTGTGTGTGTTCGTATCATCTGTGTGTGTGTTCGTATCGTGTGTGTGTTCGTATCATCTGTGTGTGTGTTCGTATCATCTGTGTGTGTGTTCGTATCATCTGTGTGTGTGTTCGTATCATCTGTGTGTGTGTTCGTATCATCTGTGTGTGTGTTCGTATCATCTGTGTGTGTTCATCATCTGTTCTCATGTTCTTTCAGGACCAGAAAACACTCTATTCAGGCTGTCAGTAAAATTCTTTCCTCCAGACCCGGGTCAGCTGCAGGAGGAATACACCAAGTCAGTGACTATCATTTCCTTCTGGATATTACTTTTATCTCATGCATGTGTAGAGGGGCTTTAGAAATGATTTCTGCAGTCTGTTAAACTTGATGTCAATGCATGCATCTCAAGCAGTTATGTTGTGGCGGCCTGTTGGGTGATATTTACTTGCCTCACATGAATATAAATGATGTACACTAAGCCTTTTTTTGCTTTGTTTACCAAGGTACTTATTCTCGCTGCAGATGAAAAGAGATCTGATGGAGGGCAGGTTGATATGCACAGAAAATACTGGAGCTCTGCTGGCCTCTCACCTTGTCCAGTGTATGTTTAAGCTTTCATGTTAACACAGTACTTGGTTGTTCTGTAGTTACATTTGTCTTTGTTTACTTGATTTGGAGGTTGCAGTTTGCTGCTGTTGATCTCTAATATCGAATATAGAGAGGTGTTTCTCTAAAAGCCATGTCCAAGTGATCAAACGGTTGAACAAACCTCTATTATGGTTGCATTTATAGCACAGCTGTTTTATACCGCATTAGTTATAGCTAGATAAGTGATGATTGAGCTACTTTTGCACCTATTTCATTTTCAAGCATGACGGATTTATGAATGATTTGTTTGAATGGAAATCCAAAAGTAACATGGGACTTAAAACCTCAAAGAAGTAGGATTAAAAAATCAAACTGAGTAACATCATAAACCAACCACCAGAAATATGTAAATGAAAAGCATAAGAATGGGATAATTATGACTTATACCCTATTTAAATTAATGTGCACACTAATAATAGTGTATTAAGCCAGCTGACATGGCTTAATAAACGTTTAACATAGTGTACTCTGAAAACCTGATGTATGGCTCTTGCTTTGACCACAGCGGAGATCGGCGACTACGATGGCGTAGCCGACCGTGACTTCCTGAGGACGACCAAGCTGTTGCCTTACCAAGAGAAGGTGCAAGAGAGGATCATGGAGCTGCACCGCAGGCACCTGTAAGTTGCTCCCTCAAGTCCCATGTGCTGTTCCATTAACAGGTCTGGTTGTGGCTGCTTTTTTGTGTGCATGACACTCGTAGTATTCTTATACAATTCATGTTTTGATTGCACTCTCTAACGAATGCAACACCAAATAAAAACACAAATGTCTACCTATTCAGAGTAACAGAAGTAAATGTGACTTTTCACTCCTGACCACATTAAGCCAGTTTACTGTGACATGGACACGGCTCAGTTCATACAAGGACTGTCAAGGCTTGACCTGGCTGACTAGCAGAGCCTGGTTGTGTGAGTTATGGTGATCATTATCTGCTCTAAGAAGGCAACATTAACTCATATAACCCATTCATCACAGCACACCAGAACAGTATCACTGTAGAACTACAGTATGACTTCAATGAGATGAATTAGCTGTTGTAAGAAGAGACTAATTATACACAGCCCTCTCAAACTTGTTTTAAGTTTGGAGGCACTTTATAGATTTGTTAGACTCTCAATACATGTCCTCTTACAGTAGTGGGCATCATTTCAACCAGCGTCGCACATTAATGATATTTTTGGGGGATTTTTGGTGTCACGTTGTCTATACCCCTGTTTAATGTGTCTTTCATCACGAATGTTTAGTGTTAACTATAATGAGTTAAATAAACTGAGACAACTGTGTTCTTGCTCAAATACCATAATGAGAGGGTTTCCATTTCAGAGTCCAAAACCCCTTGCTGCTTTTTTTCCCACCACCAGCCCCCTTGTTAGCTCAGTACTATATTCAGCAACCAATAGGGGCTCTTTTCAAACCAGTGTATTAGGCGGCTCTAAATACCATGTCTAATCTCTTCCCTTGGTTGCCAGTGTTGAAGCACAAGCGTTGAGTTCCTTGGCCTAATCCTCTGCTCTGGCCGCTCTATTAGCCAGAAGGCCAGAGGGGCAGGGGAGGGCCCTAAGAAGACTTCAACGCTTAGCGGATGAACAAAATTAGAATCTGGTGATGATTGGATGGATATGTCTTCCTAACATGCTGTTTGGTTGTAATCACATGGTTTAAGATACAGACTTCTCAAAGTTGTAAGGGATCTAAGGACAGTCTTCTGCAAAGGAGTCATGGTACTATCTTTGTTTGAATCTCATGTGGTAAATCAAATACAGAGATTGCATACTTTACACAAGGCTCCAAACTGTGCTTAATGCTCCATAAGGCTGGTCGGTTGTGATTTTAACCTTGTTTGTTGGAGGAGCACAATTATTTTGTTGCTCTTTGGACGACAGGAAAATACAGAGTCAAACGTAATCTCTCAGTATTGTTGTTGCTACAATCTAGTGTACAGCCTAATGGTGTAAGAAAGCAGCATTAACTCATTATAACCCATTTATCACAGCACACCAGAAAAGTATCAGTTAGAACTACTGTATGACTCTAGTGACAGGCATTAGCTGTTGTGAGAAGAGAAAATGATACACGTGCTGATCTCAGTGCAGGGTTGAGTTTAAGTATGCCCATAAGTACATATATTGTTTTGATTTGCAGATTCATAGACATTTGACACTTTTTTTCATGTAATATATTTTCTTAACTTAAATTCACAGTCCAAAATCAAACTTAATATCGGAGCTGACTGTTGTTGGTGCAGTCTAATTTATGGCCAAATGGTGTCTTCAACAATGCCTCATCAAATTGTTCTCCTGGAAAAGTAAGGGTTCCAATTTTGTATTAACTGGATTAATTATGAGATTTTGGTAAGGGCTTATTAGTTATACTAAACTATATCTGCCTATTGAAAGATGCACTTTTACCTGATTATACTTATGCAGCACAGTTCACACAGTCAATTCTTTGTTAAAGTTAATTGAAAGAGGCTCAAGGTTAGAGCCTTGGGGAACTCCACTAGTCTGTTTGGATACATCATTGGATTGCTTGAAGACAAGTTATGATGATATGCAAGGGTTTTCTAGAAAAATATAGTATGAGGGCGCAAAGTCACTTCCGGCCCAAATTACGGCCTGCCCACTTTCCGGCAAAAATACTGCATTAGAGCGAAGCGGAAAATAATAGTTTCTTCATGTCTTAAAGCTGCCGAGTCATATAATGCACCTCAAACAGCAAATAAATCCTGAGAGTGCCGTATGGCGCTCTTTTTGACAACATTTTCATATTTGGAGTTATCATACAGTTTTTGACTAACAGAAATTTGTTTTTTTGGCATCACTTTCAAATGTTACGGGGAAAATCGGCATTTTGGTATGAGGGCACACGCCGAAAGTAAGAGGGCGCAGCGCCCCTGTTACCTGGTTTAGACAAACCCCTGATATGTGTTTTCCCTATTCTCACGCTCTCAGTGGCCAGACTCCAGCTGAATCAGACTTCCAAATCCTGGAGATTGCCCGTAAACTGGAGATGTACGGTGTCCGCTTCCACCCAGCCGCTGACCGGGAAGGCACCAAAATTAATCTGGCTGTTGCTCATATGGGCCTTCAGGTTTTCCAGGTGACTCATACAGCTGTGTTTTGTTGAGGTCACCATCAGTCCCTCAAAATGTTGCTATCAGGGTTATTACTTTCTATGTTAAAATTCCACTTTCCTCCCAGGGTAACACAAAAATAAATACCTTCAATTGGTCCAAGATTCGCAAACTGAGCTTCAAGAGAACACGCTTCCTGATCAAGCTCCACCCAGAGGTTCATGTACGTCTTGGAGAACAGATTATTGTCCTTATTCACAAAATGTTAATGGTGGCTGTTATTTCATTGGTGTGTCCCATGATCCACAGCCAATAAGGAGGAGGCTCGTTAACAGTGTGTTTGTTGTCTTTCTCTATATGTTTCTAGGGCCCTCATCAGGACACTCTCGAGTTTATGATGGCCAGTCGTGACCAATGTAAAATCTTCTGGAAGATCTGTGTGGAATACCACTCATTTTTCCGTTTGTTTGACCAACCACAGCCCAAATCCAAAGCTATCCTCTTCACCAGAGGCTCTTCCTTCAGATACAGGTAATTTTTAAACAACATCAAAAAAGGCATATCTCATTTAACACAATGCTTGCTTATAGGAACTTTGGGGTTTCTTTTGTATTTGTGTACATTAACGAAGTTACATTCTTTTAATCACGAGATAAAAAACTATTCAAGGTTATTGCAGATATAAAACATGGCAAGCTGTCTGTGATGAGAAGTATCCTTCCCTGTTAAGTGATGTGGGGGAAAAACACACATTTTCCCATTATCTTTTGGTGACTTTTATCTCAAATAACTTTGGAATGTTTTTTTTGTGTCAAACTTATGACTTAATAACAGAGAACATTTATGCTTTCTCACAAATCTAAGACTTTAATCTGGGAAATTCTGAGTTTTCTTCTAAAAATAGAAAAAGTATTCTGTGTTTTAATTCTTAACTCTTTTCCCAGTGGAAGGACCCAGAAGCAACTTGTGGACTACGTCAGGGAAAATGGAGCAAAGAGAACTCCTTACCAGAGGTGTGTGTTTTTACATTTGATATATATATATACAGTGTGAGAAAAAGTTTTTAGAGAGTCCATGGACAAGTGAGTTTGGCAATTTACTTGTCCGAATACATTTTTCACTTGTCCAGAATGGACAAAAATTGGGGCCACTGGAATCTTCTTCTTCGCCATCGTATTTTACATTTTCCCACGGTTTTTACGACACCGCTAACGTAAGTGAGCGGTAAGATTTTACTGCATCACACATAGGGTTTGGTATCGTTTGGATTTTAACGATACCGGTTCTGCTTTTCGATTCCGGTTATTTTCGGTTCTCGATTCCGGTTCTTTGAGAGGGTAAATAAGTCCCATGACAAACTCGGAGAAAAATATATTTATGAAAACATTAAGTCAAATCTGTATTCCTATTTACAAATCACTTCATACGGTTTAATTTCTTACGGTTATTGAATACAATTATATAAAAATAATCTCTGCATTTTTTAGTTAGTTCTAAGTGGTGCAGTTTGAGAATGTACAATTGGCCCAGTGTCCTCTGATGTTACACTGCAACCTGCCTGTGAGACAGAGTCCAACCACACATGTCCAACACATAGGCCATAACCTAATAATAATAATAATAATACATTATATGTAGCTATATAGCCTATAGGCCTAGCACTTTTCTACAACTCAAAGACGCTTGCACGCTTACACATATGCAATACACATACTGCAGCTGCTCACTGTTTGTAAAAGTAAATAAATAGTATTTTCATTTCAATAATGTACTTTCTATACCCTGCTTCATAAACAATACTGACATCCCTGTGCTCCTCCGAGTCTGGGGATCCGGGGATGTGAGGACAGCGCGAGGACAGACAGGGAGGCTGCTTTACTTCATAAAGGAAATGGTGGTCCATATTAACAACACAGGAGCTAAAACGCTGACTTTGCTCACGACTGACTGACTGACTGACTGAGATGCAGCGATCAGCTGATACGGAGCATAGAGAGAGAGAGCTGCGGTCCGCGGGGCTCGGCCTCCGCCCCCTGTCCTCACAACTCTTATTAATCCCCGTCTAACTGTACAGAAAGCGGCGAGATGCATTTCCTTAGGAATCGACGAGCAGAACCGAAACTAACATTTCTAAACGAACAATGGCGGACACGTACAATTTGCAAATGAGTTCTGCCTTTTGTAAACTGAATTTATCAATAATTTGTCAATAAATCAGGGCGAAAAACGTCACTTGTCCGCCGGACAAGTCAATTGAAAGATCTACTTGTCCGATATTGTAAATAACACGTCCCGGACGGTGGGACGTGTACTTTTTCGCACACTGCTATATATATATATATATATATTCATGTTATACCTATATTGGTTTGTTTGTTTACAAATATACATGCCCCATTTCTTGCTCAGGAGAAACAGTAAAATCCGAATGTCTGCTCGCTCCCTCGCCTCAGATGTGCCAAAACAGGTCGGTGGTTTTCCAGGGTGCAACACATTTGGGCTTTCAGCATACTGTACTATAACGAATACACTAAGACAATGAATCTCTGCTTTCTACCTCAATTGATTCTTGCCTCACTCTGTGTTCATTATCTGTGTCCATTTTTCAGAGCTTGTCATTCAATGACAGTTTCAGGGCCCAAGGCTCCCCCTCCTCCGCTTCTGTGTCCTTCTACTCATCACACATCTCTAGTGTCCTCCCGCGAACAGAGCTCCAACCACAGCCACATCCTGCCACGCCGAGCCGGTCTCCAGCGCCTCCCCAGCAGCAGCTTCAGCTCCCTGTGCAAGCTGCCAGACCCCCCAGCCCTCTGAAGGAAGACCCTGTCAAGGCTGCTTCCCCATCTCACTTCGCTTTTCAAGGTGCCCCTAGCAATCAGGCAGCAGGACACTGCAGCCCCTTGTTTGTTTTTGTAGAGAGTGGCACTTCCAAATCACAGCCTTCCAAAAATAGCAATGAGGAACATGAGCATGGTGGTAGGCGGGGAACAGGTAGCTCAGTGGGAGGAGGTGGGGGGAGGAGAAAGGGAGTTCTTACACCTGAGGCTTTTGAGGCAGAGCTTTTGCGTACAAAACAGAATGCCATGTTTTCCATGTCCAACTCGCCGCTGCACGTCACTGAGGAGTTCATAGATGATGATCCCACTGAGATCTCCTTTTATGGTGGGGGTGCCGAGGCCTATTCTTTTGGGCTGGATGATAAGGTAGATCAGTTTGATTTTGTGGAGGGATCTGACCTGAGTAAAAACAGGATCTTTAGTGTGGGCATTGAGGACCTGAATGGGAACACCAATCCCTTTCCTGATAGCATTGTGGGTAATTCTGAAACCAGCTCTCTGGTTATTAACCGCTCTGAGTGCAGCTCCCTGGACAACCTGGGGCTCAGCTCTGCAGGCGAGTCCCTGTCGGCGAGTTACGGGGGGGGGCGACTCCTCCTCGCTCCGCCTGCCAGGCTCTGATATCCAATCAGAGGCCAGCTCCTTGGTCAACTTCCCGGCATACTCGGAGCGTTCTGAGAGCAGCTCTGCTGTGCAATTCAGTGACCTGGTTGAGCAGCTGGAGCAGCTCAGCTACCCCCCCACGACCACAGAGGGCTCTGGGAACGGCAGCTCGGACTCAGACTCCGACTGGGGCTCTGATAGTGTCCTCCCCCCCGAGCAGAACCTGTTCTATAGTAACCCGTTGACGGGGGGCAGTGGCATTGAGGGTTTCCTCCTTCAGTGCCATAACCTGCAGGCCATGGCACTCGCAGACCCTTCTGGACCACCTAATTTTAAAATGTAAATCACCCATATTTTAAGTACTTGATAATTAATGATGACAATAAGTAGCAGGTTGGTCAAACCTGGCAAAGTGAATTCTTTCCCCCAATTTGTGATTATAATCTCAGATTTTTTTAGATGTGCTAAAAACAAAATGTTTATTCACACAGGATATTAAATCTTTAATCTCAGACATTGTTGATTATTTGTATATCCTCATTCCTTGGCTCCAAAGTTTTTTTTAACCATACTCTTAAAAAAAACAAATATATATATATATACATATACTCTGAGTCATTTCTAACAGCCTGCACTCCCGTCAGAGTTGGTAGTGTTTTAGTTTTAAGATCTGGACTTGTACTTCTCATGAAACTTGGTTTATATGTGACCTTAATTTTCATGAGATTCTTGAATAACCTAGTCCTTTCATAGTCTGTCAGTTGTCCTATCTGGAACATTCAGCTTATTTAGAGCAAACATTGATTATTGGGGAAACTCTCATGAATTTCAGAGAAATAAAACATGATGTGCTTTTACTTTGTAAGCTTTATATAATTCAATAGATGTTCATGTCCTTTAAAACATTAATATACACATTGACATGGGAACGTCTTTTTAGATAAGCATCCCATATGCTGAATACATTGGAATCTGGATTTCAGATCAAAGTTAAATAATGTTTTTCATCCCATTTTGCATGGCTTAATAGTTTCAATTTAATGAAACAGATATAGCAAAGTCAAATATTTTTTTATAATGATTTCTACCCCATTTTCTTTTTTATAATAACTTGACCAACAGGTAAGATGTGATATCATTTAATTTTGTGCTGACCAAATGCAGTTTTTAAATCAAAATCAATTAGCTTTCAAATCTAATTTCTCAGTTGCTACTGCATGTGCAGTTTTCCAGTAGCTACACATTGATAATCTGTATTAAATCAAAGGGATAGTGGTCCCAGTCAAGGATCCTCACAGGCCTTCCGTTTGAGAACACTGCAGCCAGCATTGGAGCTCCTTTTCAGTTTGCACTTCTGTGCCTCGCTGACACCTGCTGGCTCAACTCAGCACTATCCACGTGGACTAATTCACAGTATGTAGACTGTGTCATGGAGATTCATGATGTCTGAAGGATACAAATCTATTTTAGACACAAATAACATTTTGCCTCATGCTGAGCTATGTTAAAGAATGTAAACGGTGTACTAAAGAGCCATTGAGTACACTGCTAACACCACTTTCTACTAAATGAATGTATCATTGTACACGTTTGTAAGGCTTTGTGCTTATATAGATAACAGTACAGAAGTACTCACTTATTACACAAACTAAGAATGCAGTGCTTTTCAACATCAGAAAGATCAATGTTTGTAAGTTGTAGGAAACCCTTTAGATAGAGAAGGCTTGTATTGAACATTTTTACAACTCATTTGATGTCTCTTTCATATGGCCTTTAGCACGTTTTAGCGTTAGCTATGGTCAGGGTACCAACAAGGTCGTTATCTGTTGATTGAAGGAACCGAGCATCTTTTGCACATTAGCTATGAATTTCTCTGTACTTTTATATTAGCTGGATGTTGTGATGTTTTTTTAAAAGTATTTGTATAGGAACGGTAATTCGTTGTGACACAATAGCATGCACAAAGCTTTTTTAAATGCTCTTTTTGTTTAGTCAAGTCTTTCTTAAAATAAATGTACTCGTGCCATAGAACACAGAAAGTTTATACTGTGTTCATATCAAAATAATCACTAGTGTTTTTGTTCATTAACTCGTGCCACTTGCCAAGAGCAAGTTCCCGTTTGCTTTTGAGCTCACTTTATTTGTCAGAATAATCCACTTGCACAATATGCTATTTCTGTACACGATAGTCTTCTTTTATTCTTGTGCCTTATAGCACTTACATCACTCTTCTCATGCAACATGTTGCATATCTCAGGTGTATGATCCTGTTTACTTTTCAATATAGTCTAGATGTTGCCGCCGAACATCTATGTGGAAAAGGGGTTGTCTCAATTAAGTTCTCCTCTTTAGTAATCAAGAGTCATTTGTTAAACATTCACAAGTTCTCATTGTCATTTTGAGGATGGCCATTTTACATTTTTCCCAATGAACACTTTGTGAACAGTCGTGTCATCTTGGAGAGTCTGGAACAGTGTTTAGTTTCATGTGCCATCAGTTCCCTATTAGACCCGAGGAGTTGCCTTTTTTCTGCCATGTGATTTTTCCGAAATCTCAATTAAATATTGAATTAACAAACGGGCTGATTGATTATAATCAGCTAAGCTAACAGCACTTAGGCATCAAGTAATCAACACTTAATCCTGAACGTATGTATATTGACCTATTACAGTATCAACAACCTGTACTTTAATGTGTGTATGCTTTTACTCTCAAGAATAAAGTAATCACTTTTTGTTACCATGAATGTCAAGACTTAACATTATTTTTTAAGTTACACAGCCGTAAATCGAAGACGCAATGTGGAGGTTATTCTTTAACTGCTTTTAAGAGACACCACCAGTGGTGTTAGACATGCTTGCAATGCGCACATTGAAAGAATATGCATGTCTTAGATCAAGAAATATAATGTTTACCTTGGATTGTTGTAGAAATATTAGGCTTTGGGGGTTATACTCAGACAAACTGGACATATTGTGTAAAGGTGTGCTAATTCATTCACAAAACTCAACAAACTTGAGCACATAAAAAAAGTATGTGCTGGTTTCACTTGCAGGTGCAACATGCTCAGAATGATCCTGATGTCCTCACAGTCTTTTTGAATTTCTAAATCGCTAATTGTTCTAGAAAGTGAATAGCCATATTGGTATGGAGGGATTTACAGTGTAACAATAATTGAAAAAGATGCAACGAGTAAATACACACTGCCTTTTTACTGTTAAGGCAGTGAACGTGTGCTGTTGGGGGTTGGGCCGGATTCCTCAGCCTGACTCCAGCTGAGTGCGATGGCTGTTTGCACAGGCTCTGTGCCAAGTCATTCCAGAGTGCAGCCTCGTCCTCCTGCTGTGGAGCCGTTCCCCCTCGTGTCATTCCCTGTGGGAACAAACTATAAACAACTATCGGCCCTCCAGACAAGCCACATTCCCGATAGGTCTTTGCTTGAGCAATTATTTCCGGGTCGAGTAGTGACTTTTTTTCTTTTTTTTCTCTCAGCCTTTCCCCGTTCCTGTTTTTTCTCTCTGATAGTAGTGGAGCAGCAGCAGCTGTGGTGACCTGTGACTCAGTGAGGGGATAGCCCAGCGTTTCATCTGCTTGTTATGTCTCCTCATTTGTTGTGTAGTGAAGCTCACAGGCAGAACAAAAGCAAGAAGAGCCAGTTCTCTGAAATGGAGCCGGAGCGAGTTTAAGTTGGCAATGAATCATTTTGTCCTACTTGTGGAGGGCTCTGAAAACAATGGCAGGGGGAAATGTGGGAACCATTACTCCCCTCTGCTGTCTCCCTTTCATTTGTGGCCAGGGTTTGTGAGGAACCCCTCCATTTGTTTTAGTTTAAATGTGTTTTCTGAGAGGAAATTAGATAATTACGGGGAAAAAGCAAGGTCAAGATAAAGTTGTGTCTCATGACTGTCTGCAGCATTAAGCACTGTTAAGCTTTTTAGTTCCACTTCTTGTGAAGAGCATGTGACTTTAACCCCGCCCATTTCAAGATCATGTTTTTCCTGTTTGGGAAGAGTCCTTTAACCATTGTAATTCACACCAGAACACCTTGCACTGCAATCTTTACTTATTTGAGCTGAATAGTTCAAAATAATTTAACTGAATTGTTAAAAACCTGCTATATTTGATATATATATATATATACTTTTTAAGTGTATGTTTTCCTTCTTCCACAGATGCATTGGTGGACAGCCCTCAGCACTCCCCCTTCACCTCCAAAGGCCCCTCCCTCTGCATGTCTCCCTCCTTCCAGATGTCCACCCTCAGCCTGCCGGGCCAGGCCTCAACCCCCCTGCAAAGCCCAATCCTGAGTGAGGTGGGCAGCAATGCCAGGCTAGAGGAGGAGGATGAGGAGGGCAGGAGGAAGGTACACTGCCTCACAGCCCCTTTAGAGTAGGAGGGATGAATAATAAGACGTGACACATGCAATCATGGTTCTGTGACAGAAAGTGAATCCATTGTTACTTAGAAACATCTGAATCCTGTATAAAGGGAAAGCTAGTTTTGAAGTTAGTATTATTTGAATTTTCTCTTGGAGGGAATGTTGATCATCACTTTTTTTGAAACGTATGTCCCTCCTTTTCCTCAGCGATATCCCACCGACAAGGCCTACTTCATTGCCAAAGAGATTCTGACCACAGAGCGAACGTACCTGAAAGACCTCGAGGTCATCACTGTGGTGAGTTACTTTTTATTTACTGTCTTTGTTTGGATTAACCTAGGCAATGTATTAATGATGAACTTTATTCGTACAGCACCTTCATGCAAGAAACGCAGCACAAAGTTCTTCGCATTTAGTGCTTTGGGATCAAATAGAGAAAGAACACAAAAGTTAGAGAAATCAGCCTAATGTCAAATGAATCTGCAGCATGCTCAAACTGTATAAATCAACACCCTGCAGCAGCATCAACATGTCTCCATTCACTGCCATTCTTTTCTGACCTTTCAACATCACAGTTTACATTCTAATGTGGTCCTTAAAAAACAAACATAGAAACCTGCACCGTATGCTTCTTTTCATATAATGTGGAATAGGTGATAACAAGACAAACTATAACTTCATAGCCACTGAAAAAGAATAACAAATACCCTATTTGCACATTGGTCTGCAACCTAATCTGCACTATTCTAATCTACTCAGTTTCTTCTTGCACTATTTTTATTTTATTTTGAATTAGTTTTGCGTCTTATATAACTACATTGCATTTTTGGAGGAGCTCGGAAAGGTTTTCATTGCCATTTCTACACTGTAGCTCGAGTGCATATGACACTAAAGCCTTTGAATCTTGAATCTATACCTTACTGATAATCAGTTCTCTACAAAAATCATTTTCTATTAAACTACTGACTATGGGAAGACTCACATTCTTTTTACTTAGATTATTGTCCTCGCGCAGATATGCATAATTTAAATCTGAACATCATTTGTACATGGTCTCCAAACGTGTTCGTTCTTAACCCCTAGATTTTAGAAATGTAAATACTGTTTACCAATCTTTCCTCAGCCCAATACAGAACAATTCAGCACACATGCAAAGCATATGCCCCACACTCCTAGAGAACTCAGCCAGAGTCTCCACTGATGGTTAGAATAATCACCGTTCATTGTCCTGCAGGCCCGCCACATATATTCAATGGAAATGTTATTTTTTTCTCAAAGTACTTTTTAGCAAATCATTATGAAGGTTTAGCCAGAGAGGACTCATTTCATAATGCATGATTATTCATGAATGCAAATAATACTCTTTGTGTGACCCAAGGTGAGTTAAGCAGCTGGAGGAAACTGAAGAGAATACACCTGAAGCTTTAGATTGTAACTGCATCATGTCTATCATTCTACCTCCTAAGGTTGCTTTCCCTGTCCTCTTTCTGTTTGTGTGAGTTTTTGTTGACATGGTTTTATAGTTTGAATTTGATACATTCCCCTGTATAACAATGTCGGGCTTATAAGGTTAACTAGTTTACAGTGCCCTGATAAGTGAAGGTACAACAGGCTGTTAATCCTTTCTATGCCCAACTCATAAACCCACTTACAGTTTTCATTTTTGCACACCAGTTAATTTATTAGGAGAGCATTGGCATCAACAGTGTGTTTCCCTCCCCCCGCTCCCAGTGGTTTCGCAGCGCTGTGATCAAAGAAAACGCCATGCCTGAAGGCCTGATGACCCTCCTCTTCTCCAACATTGACCCCATCTACGAGTTCCATCGAGGCTTCCTCAAGGAGTTAGACCAGAGGCTGGCTCTCTGGTGCGTCCCCCTCACTGTTTCACAATCAGAATTCCTTTTCTTAGCCTATACACCAGGGAAATGTACAGAGTTACGGCAAAGTTGACATGGCAGGTACAAAAGGCAGACAATAATAAAGAGTGGCTAACATGTTAAATATAGAAAAAAACACACATTAGTAATAAAATACAAATAAGTACTCATCCATGGCTAAACATGAGCAGCAGCATTTAAATAGGTAAGTGAACATATTAAGGTTTTAAAATATTAAACAAATGTGGTTTTGCACGTAGAAATTATGATTATTACACAGTAGAATTGTCCAAATATAAGAATATATACTGTATATTTCACATTACAAGTTTATTGCACAATTTCAACAGGCTGTATTGTGTGAGGGTCTATCATATCTCTGTGTGATAAAGATTTGTGGACGCCTTTCATGCTAATATATATATATATGGCAAAATGTGCAAATCCTCAGGGAGGGGCGCTCTAACGCTCACGCCAAAGGGGACTACCAGAGGATTGGTGATGTGATGCTGAGGAACATGTGTGCTCTAAAGGTGAGAATCCACGCTCCTCTAATGTTTGTCTTACCAGCAGAACGTCCTGTGTTTCACGCTCTTGGTATTTTATCGTCATCAGGAATTCACCAGCTTCCTGCAGAAACACGACGAGGTGCTGACGGAGCTGGAGAAAGCCTCTAAGAGGCTGAAGAAGCTGGAGACGGTGTACAAAGAGTTTGAGCTGCAGAAGGTCTGCTACCTGCCCCTCAACACATTCCTGCTCAAGCCCATCCAGCGTCTCATGCACTACAAACTCATCCTGGAGAGGCTGTGCAAACATTACTCCCCCAGCCATCGCGACCATGACGACTGCAAGGGTAAGTCCCCCCTCTCATGTCCCCTCTCTAATTATGCAAGGGCTAATGTACGAGGCAGTCGTTCATGTAAAGAAAGAACACCTGACAGTGTGTGATATGGCCACAATAAACCAATGACTTCACTCTCAATATGAATTGAAGATGATTTTATGGACTTGAAAATGAATGTATTGCTTGCTTCTGCTTTGGCAACAGTCTAATGATCATGTGGATAACGTTTTACACTGAAGATAGTTGTAGTTGATAAAGACAAGACAAAACAAACCTTATGACTAAATAATGAGTTTGCATAAAAATGTTTGTACTACTGCTGTCAATAATTTAAAAATGTATTTCCTTTAATCCCTAGTCATGATCAATCACAAGTCCTAAGTCCTGAATAATAGGCATGACCTCTTTCACGTCTTTCATTGTGTAGATATTTAGTCACTCAGGTGCTTTACACATGCATTATGTTTTATGACAAAGTGAATCCATGTATTCTGTTGGTTTGGATCTTCATTTATAATGTTGATATTCACATTTTATTCAATATTTAAATGCTGTACAGTTAATTTTTCTAGGCAGATATGATGTTGTCTGATCTTGGTACAAAGCTTAAACAGATATGGTGAAGAGTTTTTCCTGCCTTCCTAGACATGTTACTTACTAAAGGACACTATGGTCCAATACAAGTACTTTTTCCAATAAAACTAAGGAATTGTATTTTTTTATTTTAGCAGGAGGAATGATTCTCAGCTTCAATAGGCAATGTTAACAACAACAGAAAAGACCAGACAAGAGGTGTAGTCAGGGACTCTGAGCTGAAATTCAATCGTCCCATTCAGAGAATCACAAAGTCAGCCTACTAAGTATCGCCTGAAGAATATATCACAGATTAAAGGGATTTCATTGTCTGCAGGATTTGGAAAAACGTTTCCATGGATTTATCATCAGAAGACTGTGATGGTTTCTTTCCACTTCTATGAAAACCATTTCAATGCAATTGTACGATATGTTTCTGCACTTTGATATGCCTTATTTTTAAATGTGCCTTTCCTTACTGTCAGTCAAGTAAACTATTCAAGTGATGGGAGTAATACTGGCTTGATTCTTGTGGTTTACTTAACATTTTAATATAAAAAGATGTAGTGTTTACACATTTTTTATGAAAAATATCTACAAATGAAGGCAAAACTGCTCTCAAAATGGGTGAGTTTCTGAAACCTCCTCCTCTCTTTGCTCTGCTGAGATGGTTGGAAGAAGCTGATGTTGGTTTGTGTTTTTGCTGGACTTCATGCTGTGTGTCTCCCTGCAGAGGCTCTGAAGGAGGTGGCAGAGATAGCCACTCAGCTGCAGAGCAGTCTGATCCGCCTGGAGAACTTTCAGAAGCTGACGGAGCTACAGAGAGACCTGATCGGGATCGAGAACCTGACGGCACCGGGCAGGGTGAGTGCAGTGACACGCAGCAGAGGGTAGGGGGTGCTGGGAAACTGAGTCTCTGAAAACCTTCTGTTTTCAGGAGTTCATACGAGAGGGGTGTCTGTTCAAGCTCACCAAGAAAGGACTGCAGCAAAGGATGTTTTTCCTGGTGAGTACAAAACTACTAACACTGTATTAAAAGCTTCAACACTCGCACTTGTGTATTTTAAAGATGTAATATTTCTGTTGTCTCTTCAGTTCTCAGACATGCTCCTCTACACAAGCAAAGGTGTGACAGCGACCAATCAGTTCAAAGTGCACGGCCAGCTACCCCTCCACGGCATGATCGTGAGTGTTACGCTCTCTTACCTCCTTTTAACTTTGTCCCTCGTTAGCCTTCATCAGTCCTGTAGACATCCCAGCAGATCATTAGGTACATACGTGTAGAAGAAGAATACCTGCTGGTGACATGTTTGGGTATTCAGTGTGATCTCATCAGTGTGTTGAGAAGGGAGGGCCCGGGTCTCCTAATTCTGCATGTCTCTGTTTTACTCCTGGCTGCAGCTCATAGTGCTGGATGCCCCGGTAAGTGCTCTGAGCTCTGCCAGATCGGATGCCCAAACCCTACCCTTCTTCTCCCATGCTTGCGTAGAAGCATCAAACATCAATAACACACACATAGCAGATCGCTCAAGATGCTTGCAACTTTCATTAGTTGTGTATCAAACCCTAATTACAAATAATTGCGTATCTCAAATGATCAAATATAAGCAGTTATGTTTCTATGCCATAACTGAAGTGTTGTGATTTGGACCTGGGTGATGATGGGAGGCTGATGGAAACCAACATGAACGTTTCATGTGTGACCTCCACACAGATGCATATAAATGCTCCGGTAGAGCAAGTCTGTGAATGGAGTCACACTCTCCGACTGCGTTCCTCCTGTTTTCCCAAGCATCAAAGGATAGGTTGAATATTTTGAAGTGAGGTTTTATGAGGAACATATCAATAGTCAATGTTTTAACAACAGGAGATGGTGGTCGGCGCAGGAACTGAAGCTCTTATCTATGAGTAAAAGGTTCCAATTATTGAACACACTTAAACTCATAAATGTTTTTAAGTGGGCATTTTTGAAGTGGCTAATATAGTTTTTCTGCTGGCCTCCTCCCCAGCACACTTCATATGGATAATTATACAACCCCACTTCAAGTAGTTCATAACCATCCTTCCAAAGCATTAAACAAAAACAAATGTGTTTTGAAGCTTCAAATGTATTGCTTATGTTTTTCTTTTGTTTTTAGGTTGAGGAAAGTGAAAACGAGTGGTCGGTCCCCCACTGCTTCACCATCTACTCCGCTCAGAGGACCATCGTTGTGGCTGCCAGGTGAGACTGGGAAAGAAGAGTGAAGTCTATTAAAGGACTACAGGTCACACTGCTGTGTTACTCTGCATAGTCGATAGAGAACCACCTACTACAAACACATATCACGTTATCTGTGGTCTCTTCAAAGTCACTTAACCTTTCTAATGATGTCGTTTCTGCTATCTACACTATAATGAACATGCCTTGAAATAAAGGTATTCTGATTCTGATTGTCCCCATGTTTAATCCAGTGCACCGCTGTCCTTTCCTCCGTCTGTGTTTGTGATTTCAGCTCTAAAGTGGAGATGGGGAAGTGGATTGAGGATCTGAACTTGGCTATAGACATGTCCAAGAAGTCCCAGGAGAAATCCAGTATCTTCCTGGATGCTGGACTCACGGATCACTCCAACCGTAAGAGTTTGTGTTGCCTCAGTGTGTAACCTGAAGATGTGTCTGCAGTAACAAGAGAATCTTTATGCTTTCCTCAACTTAAGAGAATCTTTTCCAAAAGCTTTTTTCCTTGTGATTGTGAAACAGTTTAAAGGTAGTTAATCCCTTCCTTCCTCCAAACAACTTCCTGTCCTGCCCCCTCCTCCCCCCTCAGGATCGTCTGATGAAGTTTCTCTGGAGCAGGAGTCGGAGGATGACATGAACTCCTCCCGCACGTCACTGGACAAACAGACACACCACCGTGCGAACACAACCATGCATGTGTGCTGGCACCGCAACACCAGCGTGTCTATGTCTGATCACAGCCAGGCTGTGGAGGTACTCCTCCCCTGCCCACACTCACCTACACACACATTGACATCTCCACACACTTCAAACATGTTTGCAAAAACACATTCAAAGTATTTCAACTCGCGTTTAAGTGACATTCGTCACCTCTGCATCGGTGGATTTTAGAGAGTCAGCAGCCGTCGCTACGGGTCAACCGCTGCATTTCACCTTCTCTAACCTTTTCAGTTTCCTTTTAATGTCGCTCTTTTTCCTCCCTTAATATCCTGTGTTTCTACTGTTTGACTGAAGCATGTTCTCAAAGACTCTTTGTTCTTGTTTCTTATGCAGCTGATGGGATATGTATGGAAGCCCTGAGAGGCAAGTGACAATAAAATCTGGTAAACCAAAAGTCTGATCCTTTCCTGGGGAAAAATAGCCCCAAATTGCCCCCGTCGGTATGTCTACAGCAATGAAGTGTGTGCAAGTGGCTTTGGATAAAAGCGTCAGCTAAATATAGAGTAATGTCACTTTTTAAAAAAGGATCACCACTGATGTTCTCACTTGCCTCTCAATATTAATACATAGGCATTACTATATAACAATACATCCTTCCTCTGACACGTTCTCCCTCCACAGACCTGGAGGACTTCCTAACTGCTTGTTCTTCCTCTCTGAGCTAACATGCTAACACTTTCTTGACACCCTGTGTTCCTCTTGTCTCTTCACCCTCTCAGTGTACGGCTCTCCAGCTGTCTCTCCTGAGCTGCCGCCTCGTTATCTGCTCGGTCAGGGCCAGAGACCAAACACCATCACACATGTTTGCTGGTACCGAAACCAGAACCTCTCTCTCACTGATTACCTGCGCATGGACCAGGTACTAGAGCCACAGTAGATTACTACAAGAGGACAGAGTACTATAGTATCTCGCTGAAGTCTGAGTTGAAAGCATAACAGCCAAGTTTGACTTTTAATTAAATGGAAAGCAAACATTGTTATTGTTTTATTGAGATTTCAAACTTGATTATTTTTTCCTACTTCACATTTTAGCCTCTATATCCCATGAGGTTCAACATTAAAATAGATTGCAGCCAGTGCTCTCAAATCAAAACATTCACTAGTCTACTCATCAAAACATGTCAACAACTCAAAATAGCAGTAATAAAATAAAGCTAGGAAAAATACCAACTACAAAAACTGAGATGAGCAGTCAAACATGGATAATTGGATTAGAACAAATGAGCTTTCTGCATTTTCAAGTGAGAGCATGCCTCAACCCTTAAACAACCCCAATGTCTTCACAAACATTTTCTATGTTATAAGTGCAATATGTCACAACCAAGCCCTCACACACAATTCACTCCCAACCGTTGAATAATCACTGTGTCTAACCTCCGTATTTTCTGTGTAGAACCAGCTCTCAGGTTACCTGCTGAGGAAGTTCAAGAACAGTAACGGCTGGCAAAAACTCTGGGTGGTCTTCACCAACTTCTGCTTGTTCTTCTACAAGACTCACCAGGTCAGCAGACACACCCTGAGATCAATGACTGCTACACATTTGAAAGAGTTCAGTTGGGTGAGTGTGTCTGTGATCTGAATGCGTGTCTGTGTGCAGGACGACTTCCCGCTGGCCAGCCTCCCCCTGCTGGGCTACACCGTCAGCACCCCCGAGGAGTCGGACAGCATTCACAAGGACTACGTCTTCAAGCTGCAGTTCAAGTCCCATGTGTACTTTTTCCGGGCTGAAAGCGAGTACACCTTTGAAAGGTATGTGACTTGTTTTTAATTCCCAGAATATTGAAGTACAACCCATACATCAGTAGGAAAGACCTGAGAGGCAGGTGCGAGAAATAAAAGTTCTGGTGATCGTATTTAAAAAATAAAAAAAAGTTTTAGCAGATCGTTTTTTTTCTTTTAGGATTATTTGTGTAGTTATTTGTTGTTGTAATACTCATCTTGTCCACCAAAGCCTAAAGTTCCCCTCCACCTCATGATCTGAACACGAAGCGCCTTTCGTTTCTCCAAGCCAGTTTAGATTTAACCACGCCCACTCCCGCTTTAACATAGATCTGCGTGACTGCGTAATGGCGTATAAAGAGAACATCGCCGTTCCCATGTTAACATTGCTGAAGTAGTATCACATCTACTCTAGTTTTCACAGTTTTCCTCCCACGAATAATTCATAGAGCATCTTCCTCAAAGTATATGAAAACAGCTCTTTTAATATGAGAGAAGATCACAGTTATGCATGTCTAGGAGTTATTTAGATTTTTTTCATATTAATTCACCATGGATTTAAAAATAACAAACCAGAAACCAATATTTAGCTAGTGTTTTGTTTTTGTCACATTTTGTACATGAGTAGAGTATTTGAGTAAATGTACTTTATTACTCTCCAACACTGTCAGAGGATAAAACATATTCCTCCTGCTGCAGACCGCTGGGACGTTTTTCACTTTCACTGACTGTTAACAACCCATATCTGTTTTTTTCCAAGCTAGAGTAGCCGTGATATTACTTCAGCGTTGTTAACAAGGAGACGTTCTCTTTATACGTCCATGACGCAGTCAAGCAAAGCTGCGTGAATGCGGAAGTGGGCGTCGTTAAATCTGACCCGGGTTGTAAAAACGACAGATGCAATCAGGACTTGAAGCATTTTTTTTCTTAGGTAATTTTGTATTTCTCCATGCTCTTTAAATGCAAGGGACATACAGTATAATGTGTGTCAGCAAGTTATGTTACATAAATGTCACGTGGTGGACTTTAAAGGTCTCCTATCATGCAAAATGCACTTTGTAATGTCCTTTATACATCAATATGTGTCCCCGGCAGTGTTGGGCAAGTTACTTCCAAAGTGTAATATATTACATATGACTTATTACTCTCTTTTGAAAGTAATAAGTTACATTACAATATTACTGTCTCTGAAATGTAATGAGTTACACTACTTTAGTTACTTTTGAGTTACTTTCACCAAAATAACCTCAAAAGAATGGCTAGTTATTTTAAATGCTAACATGTAGTTTAGTGCAGCTCATTATACATCCAGTGAAGGGCGATGTGGTTTAGCATAACAACTGTGTAGGCCCTTAAGGCTACTAACAACTTGTATTACACGGCTTAGTTGAATACTCGATTCTGATTGTAACTTCTTAACATGTGACACGTTGTTAATACAGTACAGACCACTGTCAAGGACTATAATGAAGGTTGCTAAGGAGGATCAAGAAAGAGAGAGGTTAAAAGACGGAGCGCTGGACGTCAGATAAATCACCAGAAGAAGGCAGACAGGAAGTAAACAATAACAGGACACGGAATGGGCTCTGTAGTGTGTTTAGTATATGGCCATGTACAGGCCCGGCTCCAGAACAAAATGACTGAGGGTGCCTCTGAGGTTACAGGGGGCGCAGCAGTAGCAGGTTTACATGAGCAATAGTGGCCGGCAACAGCAATGACAAATAGCATTGATGGTCCCCAATGAACAGATTATGGCATTTGTTATGTTTTGAAACCAAGCAAGTGAGAACATTTCAAGTGAGTTAAAAGTGCAATCCTGAAATATTTCATATAGTCCAAAGTGGACTGTGGCAAAGAAAAGCACAAAAGCTTCAAAGCTGTACTGATAAAACAAATGAGAACATATTGTAAATCAAGGCAAATATTATTTGAACCAGCTCATGGTTTGAAATGGCAAACATTGAAAAGCAAAAGTATTATTAAAACCATATCACTTTGGTCCCATCATATATTCTGGGAAGAGAATATTTACTGTGCTTGAAAACTGGTATCACATCATCATGTGAGGTTGACTTTGTGACCTGGAGAACATTTCAGCTGCAACATTAGCTCGTTAATAAGCTTGGGATATGAGATAGTTTTGTAGCCATTCGTGGTGAAGGCATCTGTGCTATTGTATGCATTATTTTTGACCCAACATTTCTACAGGCATGGCAGAATATGGCACTATTTCCACATTAATATTCTAGCCATTGTCTATTTTCATACCACGAGCTGCAAAATGACCACCTAACTAACCCCACTGTATAGGCGGGTACTTGTTTAGATATACCTGGGCAGGCTCTGTTTTGCCGTGGTATCCTGGCACCTGCGGGCCGCAGAGGGGCGGCGTAGTTTCGGGCGACGAAGACTGCTGCTCCGGGGGCGAGGGCGGCGAGTCAGGCGGGAGTAAGCTAGTGTCCACAACGGAGGGTCACGTGATGTCCCCATCTGACCTGTTGCTACTGTCTGCAGTAGATGCAGTGTTGCTGGCGTTTAGTGATGGTTGCTTTAACCATTTTCGTATAAATGATTATCCACAGATGTGTCACTGCTGTGTTAGCACTTTGGAAATGATGCACGCGCAGCGGAGCAGGTCACGCGCACCTGACACAATTTGTTGTTTGTATTTTTCGCTCCGTTCTCTTTTTTGAATAGAGGGTGCATAACATTCAACTGCCCCAAAGATCCCGACGCGAAGCCTGAAGGGTAAACACGCCAGGTCTACTAATCTACCCGCACAATTTGTCTGGTGTCGGAATGTCTCGCTATGTTAGTACATTCTTAAAAAACAAAACACCATTTAATTTCGGGTTAAAATGTGTTGTAGCTGCGTTACTGGGCATTGTGACGGGTAATATATTACCCACATTTCATTAGTAATGCGTTACTTTTTGCTGTAACGAAGTAATGTAATATATTACTGTAACTCCGTTACTCTTGTAACGCGTTACACCCAACACTGGTCCCCGGTGTGTCAGGGAACTCACTAAGTGTCAGAAAACAAAACCCTCTCTCTTTTCCTCTGTACCCAAATCTCTAAAAACGGGGGAATAACGAGCTGATCCAGATTTGCTGCCGATATGACGTAATATCAGAAATGTGGGCTGGCTTTTCGCCCACGGCCCAATCAGAAACGTCGCTATCAGAAACAATGCCCGACTGTTTTGGACGTAATATGGTCTTGGTTTACATTAGCAAGTATCACTAACACTCAGAGCTAACCTGTACTGGAGAGAGTATGTGTAGAAAAAGGAACTCACCTTGTGGTAAACCCGCAAGAAAATAAGCATTTGAGCTCCATTGATATGGCGTTTAATCACGGCACCATTTAGCTGTATCTCTGTAGAATTCTGAGCAGGCATTAGCTCCCCCTCCTCTTTTTATTTTCAAGCTAAGGACCCAGAATCAGCAGTTCTCTAACAGGGCTGAAATAGAGGGATAGAATGGGAGGGGGGGGGTGTCCGTTGCCTTGCTCAAGGGCACCACGGCAGGGCAGGAGGTGAACTGGGACTTCTCCAAGTAGCAGTCCACACTCCATATTTAGGTCTGGTCGGGGACTTGAACCGGCGACCCTACAGCTCACAAATATGAGGGATGTCTAAAATGCATGATCTGTTTGGTATTTTGAGCAAAACACATCATAGACATGTTTTTGATATATTGTTATATATCTGAGACCCATAATATATGCCTAAAAATAGCATAATAGGAGATCTTTAACGTCTTGTGGCTGAAATGGGTATTACAACAAGACTCAAATATCTTGATAACCTTTCCCTGCTTGTTAAACAGATGAAAAGTGTACCTGTCCTCAAGTCACAGGAGATCACCAGAATATTTGTTCTGACTGGACTCTCAGGGCTTCCCGAGGTCAGCCTTAAAGTGGCAGAGGAAGCATTTTGAAACCTTGTCTGGTGTGTTCACAGATGGATGGAGGTAATCAAGAGTGCAGCCAGCACCACAGGCCGGATGAGCCTGCTCATACCCAAAGGAGGTCCCATGGAGATAAACGGAAACTGATTCTGACAGGGTGCACCTGGGGGCTGGCCCCCGGGACATCAGGAAACCATCCTTTTCAAGTGAAGATTTGGACACTAACAACTGGAGACTGGAAGATACTGCCAGTTTAAGTGTTAACATTCAGCCTAAGGATTTAATTATAATGGTTCTATGCATTTCTTTTGTTGATAAATGATGTAAATGATAACATTTTCACAGTTAACAGGATATTATGAAAGGGAGACATGTACATTTTGATCAGTTTTTGCATGTGTAGCGCCCAATTAGGCTGTTTGCACAGGATGATGGGAAATGTTATATGGGACCAAGGCTAACTCAAAGGGCTAGACTTTAGGCTTTTCTGAAGGACTTGACTCTTTAGATGACTGAAGCTTTGTTGGGCACAGAGGATTTACAGTATGTGGAAAATGAAGGTACATGATGGTATGTGCATTGTACTCTGAAAGGGTTAGTGTGAGAGATGAAGGTGAGCAGAAAGTTCACGGGATGTTTGAAAAGGGTTTCCGAGTAGAAGTAATACATTCATGGAGATGCATAAGATGTTTGGATAAATTCATGCTGCTCACACAATCTGGTTTCAACATGTCTGCGAGTTTTAAGAATAAACCTGCATGAACTATTAGAATAAGCAGTGTATGAGGCGTAATGTTCCTGATGAAGGATGGGTTAAAGGGAGTTGCTCTGTTTGGATCTCCTGATTAGTTGGACAGTGTTATGGCCAGTTTGGTGCTACACATCTCTCCTTGACAGAAAATGTATCCTGTTTTAAATTTTGCATAGGTATAACAGCTTCGAGAAAGATTGTACAGATATCACTCTGCAGATTTTCCGTGGAAAAGCAAACCAGAAGAACATATTATGAAGTAATCGTACTTGGTGATGTTTTAGACAGATAGGAGCTGATTTTGTTGTTTGTTTGTGTGTGTGTGTGTGTGTGTGTGTGTGTGTGTGTGTGTGTGTGTGTGTGTGTGTGTGTGTGTGTGTGTGTGTGTGTGTGTGTGTGTGTGTGTGTGTGTGTGTGTGTGTGTGTGGTGTGTGTGTGTGTGTGTGTGTGTGTGTGTGTGTGTGTGTGTGTGTGTGTGTGTGTGTGTGTGTGTGTGTGTGTGTGTGTGTGTGTGTGTGTGTGTGTGTGTGTGTGTGTGTGTGTGTGTGTGTGTGTGTGTGTGTGTGTGTGTGTGTGTGTGTGATCGCTCAGGGTTGTGCTCCTGAATGCCTCCCATGTAGTCTTCATGTTATTCCATTGGAAAGCTAACAAATAAAAGATCATTTCAATCAGACTTTCTGTGCCGATACGTTATTTGTACATACTTGGTCTTACAGTTCTATCTGAAAACTGCTCGGAGCATAAAAACTGAATCACCAAAATCTTTGTTGTGCACTTTCGAACAACTTAAAAAGTGAAGTTCCACTATCGTTGATTAAACGGACCATACAGATTTATCAAGAAAAGCAAAGTTATTTTATTTCAATAAAGTACCAGATCCTTTAGGTAAAAGTCCTAAACCACAATGTAAAAGGACTTCAATGTAAAGGTCCTGCATTGAAAACATTGCTATCATATCATAAAAAAGGTACACAAATATATGAAAAATACAAATATAAATATCAGAAAATGTTGAGACTACCTACAGTGGAAAGTGTGTGACAATCCAAAGGCAAGCAGCAAGTCTGCATGTTGGATAAGTGGGAATCATGAAGTCATTGCTGTTTAACAAAATCCATGAAATAATCCACGTCCAATCGTTGATTAATTAACTGCAGCTAGCGATTATAGCTGCACTGTTTCTCATCTGTGAAATGTGTGTTAGAATAAGGAGAAATGTATAAAACACATTCTGCATTGGGATACACACGTGTGGTAGTATGTGTCTGCAGTGGTTGAATGTCAGAAACCTTTATTCGTCCCACAGCGGAGAGATGTACTCTGTACTGAGAGGAAAAGGAGAGGGAGTAGACTCATAAAACAAAGAAGTTCAAACAAATACGTACACCATGGTACAAAATAAGCAGCAGTATTACAATAATTCAGTGATTATATAGAAGTATTAAAGCGGGTAACATTAATCAATTGTAAAAGATAATGAAGTGCATATTGCATAAGTGTATGTTGAACAGTGTAAGTAACCCTTATTGGTTTTACATTATTATATCATGTGTACTTATGTGGACCCCAGGAAGAGAAGGTGTAAATAAAAGCAAAAGTGTATGAGTAATAATGATATCATGATAATGTGCAGACTGTGTTGAGCGTTCATAAACAAAGCAGGGCATTCTTCAGGCATGTCCAAACAGCGTGACTGGGTGGAGCGGCTTCCCCAGAACCACAAAGTGACTTCTGTTGGGGAGTGGAGAAGGTGGTTAAAAACAACATGGCTCAGCAGAAATGGATTTGAACTTGATACATTTAGTCCACTACCTTTATCTCACAGATGCAGTTAAAAGACCGTTTGCAGATAACAATTTCATAAGCACATCAAATATGATGAATACTTTGTGACAGAATGCTATGTGTTGGTTTCAAATCCTTATCACAGTGCTGTAATCACTGCACTCTCACGCGTCAGAGGGAACAAATAATATCTGACCTTCCTCTTCCCACAACAATATAATGAGTAGGCTGTCACCATGTGACAGTGTGTTTTCCCCTTTATACAGTATATGTCTATGGTTTTCACCCTATTTCCTCCTTAAAAAAAACAAACACGCATAGTGCTTTTAATACATGCTGACTCACCTAAATGTACCACCAGTGTTACAGAATCTGCCACTGATAAAAAAGGTGTATTTCATGTTTAACCAGGCTAGCTGTTCCCCTTGTCTCCAGTCTTTAGATAAGCTGACATCTGCTGGTGTATAGTATACAAGCAGTGGTGGAAGAAGTACTAAATTCCTTTACTTGTGTAGCCTACTAGTGAAAGTAAAAATACTGTTGTCGTAAAATAATCCATTGGAAGTAAAAGTCCTCATTTCAAAATATTGCTTAAGTTAAAGTAGAAAAGCATTAGCTTCAAAATGTACTTAAAGTACAAAGAGTAGCCTACTGATATGACCCATTTCAGAATAATATAAAATACAGAAGTATTATCAGCTAAATGTACTTCAAGTATCAAAAGTAAAAGTACTTTTTATGTAAGAGCTTTGTATTACTGTAGTTTGACAATGTGGACCAAATGTAATTCACTAGAAAGACTATAGATTAGTAGTACAGTACTACATTATGTTATATCATGTGCTCCACGAGGACACAGTAGCTAGTAACGTTAACATAAATTAGTAAAAAGTAGGCTACAATGTTTGGATTTGCCTCAAATTCAAGAGTTTGGTTTGCTGTGTGTGTGTGTGTGTGTGTGTAACGTGTGTGTGTGTGTGTGTGTGAGTGTGTGTGTGTGTGTGTGTGTGTGTGTAAACGTGCGTGTGTGTTGGGGGAGGGGCGGGGCTTGTTGCTCTGCTTATCTCCGCCTTTGGACTTCACAATAAGTGCCCTTAGAAGGAGAGCCTGTCAGACTGTAGTGGCAGCAAATCTCCCCTTCATCAAACCTCCTCTTCATCAGTGACCGTTAGTATGGATATTCTAATAGGGGCGAATTAGCCTGTTAACCCCGGGTAAGTGTGATTTAATGTTCCTTACTTTGGGCGCATTAAGTGTAACTTTATGAACTCATACAAAACGTTCCGCTCGTGTCAGACTGTTCCTCGGTTTATTTAACCTGCAGCAGTGCGGCTCTATTCAGATTTAAAACGATGTCGACAAACTAATCCAGTGTTTGTTATGCAGGAGATAATCTCCGTAAATCTTCCCTCGGAATAGACAGGGGCAGAGGTAGGGGGCTGTGCCGGGAATAAGCGGTGCGGCGGGGAGGAGCGCAGCGCGGTCCCGGTGGATGCGACAGCGGCATGGAGATGTTGCGCCGCTCCTCCGTGTTCGCGGCTGAAGTGTTTGACCGCTCTCCGACCGACAAGGAGCTGGTGTCCCAGGCCAAGGCGCTGTGCAGGGACTACATCCACTCCAGGCTGAACCGAGCCGGGATAGGCTGGTCCAAACCCGAGCACGGCCTGGCTGCCTCGGGGGGGGCTCTGGGGGAGATCTCCTCCGTGATGCTGTGGCTGGGTGAGTTGTGAGGAGAGTCAATGTGGAAGAAGTACTTCGATCCTTTACTTAAGTAAAAGTAGAAATACTTTGGTCTGAAAATACTTAATTACAGGTGAAAGTCCCGAATTCAGAATGTTAAGTAGAAGTATGCTTAATGTGCATGTAAGGACATTTAAATGTTGTATTTTGTTAATAGTAAGACCATTAACAAATATATATATTGGTAGTAACGTACTGCAGTATAATGTCATGTGTTTTATAATGTAAACAGTATATGTATTAGTGTTAATACATGTAGTGGAGTAAAAAGTAGCCTCCAATAAATGTTACGAACTGTTAAGGAGTAGAAGTATAAAGTAGCATGATATGGAAATACTCAAGTAAACTACAAGTAGGCTATGACAAAAATAGTACTTAGTAGTACGGTACTTGAATAAATGTACTAGTTACTTCCCACCTCTGGTAAGACAATGGTAGACCATACACTGCACTTGATAAGAACGTCATTTATAGAATAGAAGAGAGAGAAAGAGTCATGGTTAGTTCAATGGTATTTACACCAAATGCACAGTATTTCCATAGTATTCATTACATAAGTTTACATTTAATATATGGAATACACAGATGTCATGTTGTCTGTATTTTTATAAAGGGATCTGTGGACCTGAACTGCATTGTACATTTGATCAGTGTTTGAACAAATTATTCAGTTTTTTACATTAGTAAAAGTTTTAAAACCATGATTTAAAATGTGCAAGTAAAGGTCCTGTACTCCAAATATCAAGAAAATGAACTAAAAGTATACATCCTGGTGGAGGTTTGACTCATTATTTAGAAATGTCTTTTGGGATTACCTTTCATTTTCCCTGGAAGACCTTGAAGTGATTCATGGTATTCCCCAGAAAATGAAGGCCACCGTTTCATTTAATGTTTGCTCACTGAGAAAGCTGATACTCCACCCGTCGGATGTTTGCCTTTATCATGTCAATCAATGTTTATTTATATAGCCCAATATGACAAATGTTACATTTGTCTCAGTGGACTTCACAGTTTGTACAGAATATCAGTTTGACAATGTGCGGTTATCACCCCACCTCCCGTTTAAATAGTTATGCAATTTACTGGAAACTCAGATGAAACAGACTCTGAGTTTGTTAGAAACAAACAGGGAGGATGTTTGGGAACTCTTTCAGGCAGAAAGACTTATAAACTGTGCTCAAGACAGAGTTGGTAAACCTATGAGGCATAATCTAAAGATCAGATCGATTGCTTTTGGACTTTGTTTTCTTTAAAGTCTACTAGATATGATGTAATTCCGGGTTAGACTACAACAAATGATCTACTGCTCGTAAATCTGTAAGCATTTATTTTTGAAAAATAAAATGTTCTGCTGAGAAAATGTAGGCCTATGTAGAGTATATTTAGCTGGAGCCAGCTGCCTGTTAGCTTAGCTTAACACAATGATTGGAAACAGGAGAAAACCACTAGCATGGCTCTGCCCCTAATAACACCTAATACACTATATATCTCCTTTACACTTTATATCTTGTTAGTTTTATTAGTACAACAACTGTGTAATGTAAGAACAGCACTTATTGTTGTCTCGACCAGTTAATGCCTACCTTTAAACAAAGCCACGTTAGCTGTTGCACCCTGCCTCCGAATGAAGCAGCGTGACTGATGAACAGAACAAAATAGGGCCATTGGGTTACAATGAATTTATTTCCAACGTGGGAAGTAAACTAGGGAGACGTAGGCGATATTGACAGCTCCTGCCGCTGCTACAGAATGTATCCTTCAAAGATGGCCGCCCCAGAACACCTCGCGGTTCACTATTCAACTGAAAGACATGAGAGCGGTATCAATATTCATTGTTTTGGTAAGACTCTTTACCAAAACCAACTTTAAATTGAGACATGTAGCTTGTTAGTGGAGAAGAGTAATTATGTCAGCCAACGGACTTAATTGTGTCTGTTATAGAGCACTATTCAGCAGCTAAAGCTAACTTTAGCTACCATAGTATTAGTATACCAGACTTAAGAGGCTGAAGCAACCATACCACTAACATAATTAAATCAAACAATGGTGCCTTACTACTTCTTCAAAAGTAACCACAAACACACTATTTAGAGTTTAACGAGTTTTGTCTCTTGTGTTTTGGCCAGGTGATGAGTTGGAGTACCTTCGACCCAACGTGTACCGCAACGTAGCGCGACAGCTCAACATCACCGTGGCCTCAGAGAACATTGTGTCGGATGCTTTCCTGGCTGTGGCTGCAGATATATTCTCCACAGGTGGGTCCACATCAGAATCTGGCTGTGTTGTAAATCAAGCCTCACACACAGACTGCATCATGGGAACTAACTTTAGTGCCTTATTATTAGGAACACAAGGTTGAAAACAAAGGAAGAGTATTTGTCCTTTGAGGGAAGTTCTTCATGTTGTTATCATCAGGGAAGGAGGAACTTCAAAACTGATGCCAAATACAATAAAGAGATGTAAAAGAGTTTGGAGAACTTATGTTACTGCTCCTATTAATGCTTTTATATTGAACAATTATAGCAATGTTTCTCTCTAAAATCCCAGCCTTTCATGTAAACAGCTCTTTTGCAGACTGCAGGATTCTGTAGTCAGAGACATTATGTTGCAGTCATTACCCCCTCAAAGAACAAGAGAGAACATTCAGTTCATATTAGGCTAACATGTTGCTGGAGCCACTGATTGTTACAGACAGTTTGGACCACCCAGGGAGTTCAGACATGAGCCTCAGCGGCTTTATACCTTCGGGACTGTAACAAAGCAAACAAACTGTGCTCCTTAAAACGTGTGGAGTCACTTTGAAATATCACTTCAAACACATTACAATGACAGAATTCTACTTTAATCCCAACATGCTCTAGGATTTGGAGAAATACATTGAAGCATAGGCTTACATTTCAGGTTGAAAATATAGTGAGTGAATGTGGACAAACAGTCATTCTGACAGTGTAGACATGTCACTGTGAGGAGGAAGTCCTGGGCAGCAGCAGATTACGTCCTCACTGTTCCTCAGGGCACAGATAAACACCCTACATCATACATTACACCAGAGCCGGGTTTTTTTAATTGAAAGTGGTTTGAAGCCTTGTCTAATGTGGAAGCAAAGTTAGAGAGCAACCCATGTCCCTCAGGAGCTGGGGGGGGGTCAGAGGTAGAGGAGACTGAATGAATGCTGATGCTGCGCTGCCTGCTGGATCTGTTCACTGAAACACTGGGGGAACCTTTGTGAATATTAAACACAGGGGTGCTGCAGTGCTGCAAGACCCTCGCTATATCCATCTGAAGGGGGGGTCCTGAAAGGCTCCTTGCATGTTTTCCTTTTTGCCCTTAGTAATTCATTGATCAGCAGCAAGGCTGGGCAAAGGGACGTGTGTGTGTGTGTGTGTGTGTGTGTGTGTGTGTGTGTGTGTGTGTGTGTGTGTGTGTGTGTGTGTGTGTGTGTGTGTGTGTGTGTGTGTGTGTGTGTGTGTGTGTGTGTGTGTGTGTGTGTGTGTGTGTGTGTGTGTGTGTGTGTGTGTGTGTGTGTGTGTGTGTGTGTGTGTGTGTGTGTGTGTGTGTGTGTGTGTGTGTGTGTGTGTGTGTGTGTGTGTGTGTGTGTGTGTGTGTGTGTGTGTGTGTTGGAGTGGAGTTTGAAGATGGGCATGGTGTGAACAAAAGGGGGCAAAGGTTAACTTTTTAGACATGTGATCAACATATTGATAGAGAGAATAATTGTAAATATAAAAATATACTTTGATAATATGAAGAAATAAGAAAATTAACTTGAGTTTATTCATGTGAAATTACATTACATTACATTACATTGCATTTAGCTGACACTTTTATCCAAAGCGACTTACAATAAGTGCGTTCGACCAACAAAATACAACTTGAAAAAAACAGAATCATATAAGTACATCAGGCTTCATAGAGCAAAAACATTTCAAGTGCTACTCAACTGGCTTTAGATAAGCCAGTCCTTTATTAGTATAAAAGTGCTTCGTTAATAGTTCTATCGCTCGAAGTGGAGTCGAAAGAGATGAGTTTTCAGTTTGCGCCGGAAGGTGTGTAAGCTATCTGCCGTCCTGATGTCAATGGGGAGCTCATTCCACCATCCTGGAGCCAGGACAGCACACCCACGTGTTTTCGCCAATGGGAACTTGGGTCCCCCTCGCAGCGAGTCGTTTGGCCGATGCAGAGCGTAGTGCACGCGCTGGGGTGTACGGTTTAACCATGTCCTGGATGTACGAAGGGCCAGATCCACTCGCAGCATGGTAAGCAAGTACCAGTGTCTTGAAGTGGATTCTAGCAGTTACCGGAAGCCAGTGAAGGGAGCGGAGGAGCGGAGTAGTGTGGGAAAATGTAGGAAGGTTGAAGACCAGACGAGCCGCTGCATTCTGGATGAGCTGCAGAGGTCGGATGGCACATGCAGGTAGACCAGCCAGGAGGGAGTTGCAGTAGTCTAGGCGTGAGATGACGAGAGCCTGGACCAGAACCTGAGTCGCTTTCTGTGTCAGCTGGGGACGTATCTTCCTGATGTTGTAAAGCGTGTATCTGCAGCAACGGGTTGTAGCAGCGATGTTTGCAGTGAAGGACAGGTTGTTATCTCGGGTCACACCCAGATTCCTTGCAGTCTGAGTCGGGGAAACAACTGAGGTGCCGATGTTGATTGTTAGGTCAAGAGTGGGACAATCTTTTCCCGGAAGGAAGAGCAGCTCAGTCTTGTCAAGGTTGAGCTTGAGGTGATGAGCAGACATCCACTGAGAGATGTCAGCTAGACAAGCAGAGATGCGTGCGACGACCTGGGTCTCTGAGCGGGGAAAGGACATAATTAATTGGGTGTCGTCAGCGTAGCAGTGGTAAGAAAAACCATGCGGGCTAATGACTGATCCGAGCGAGTTTGTGTACAGGGAGAAGAGGAGGGGACCAAGAACAGAGCCCTGAGGGACCCCTGTAGTTAATTGACAAGGGTCGGACTCAGACCCTCTCCAAGTCACCCTGTAGGTACGGTCTTTCAGGTATGAGGTGAGGAGGGAAAGTGCAGAGCCTGAAACTCCAAGTTTTTGGAGAGTGCGAAGGAGGATCTGATGATTCACCGTGTTGAATGCAGCAGACAGGTCCAACAGGATGATGACAGAGGAGAGGGATGCAGTTTTGGCAGTGTGCAGTTCCTCCGTGACAGCAATGAGAGCAGTTTCTGTGGAGTGACCTGCCTTGAAACCAGACTGGTGCGGATCCTGAAGGTTGTTCTGATTGAGATAACAGGAGAGTTGTTTAAAGACAGCGCGTTCAAGTGATTTAGACAGGAACGGGAGGAGAGAGACAGGCCTGTAGTTTATAACATCAGACGGGTTGAGAGTGGGTTTCTTTAGGAGAGGGTTTACTCTTGCCTCCTTGAGACTGTTTGGAAAGTGACCAGAAGTTAGAGAAGTGTTGATGAAATGGGTGAAAATGGTAGAATATCAGGGGCGATAGTCTGAAGGAGGTTTGAAGGGATAGGGTCCAGAGGACAGGTGGTAGGGCGGGCAGAGGTAATGAGGGTAAGAACCTCACTTGGAGAGAGAGGGGAAAAGGAGGTTAGTGTGTTGGTGGAAGGAGGGTCTGGTGACCCAGCGGTGAGTAAAGGTGAGTCAGAAAAAGAAGAGCGAATATCATCAACCTTTTTTTCAAAGTGGGTAACAAATTCGCTTGACAGAAGTGAGGAGGGGGGAGGGGCTTTTGGAGGGTCCAAGAGGGTGGAGAAGATGGAAAATAGTTTTTTAGGATTGGAATAGGAAGATTGGATCTTATCTTGAAAGAAAGTGCTTTTTGCCTCAGAGATCAAAGCAGAGAAAGAGGAGAGGAGAGCCTGATAGGTTAGGAGGTCGTCACGGTGTTTGGATTTCCACCGTTTCCGCTCTGCTGCCCTAAGGACGGTTCTATTAGCACGCAGTGCATCATTTGAAGAGGGAAAAGCTCCATTTGGGAGAGAGCAGGAGACCAGTGCCACCTCCTCTGCCAGTTGGTCTGGGTGTATGGGAGAAGGAATATGCAGTGGAGAGAGCTGCTGGGGTGGATGTGTTGGATGGAGTAATCCAGGTCTCAGTGAGAGCAAGGAAATCCAGAGACTGCAGGGAGGTGTAGCCAGAGATGAAGTCAGCCTTAGGAACAGCTGACTGGCAATTCCACAGGCCACCTGAAACTAGATGTTGGATCTCAGTGGAGCATGTGGGATAGATGAGAGCAGGCCGGTTATATCGATTACGAGATACACGGGGCCAGTGATAATTGCGAGAAGACACATGAACAGGAATGGAGAAAATACACATCATTATAGCATGAGGGGCTAAACAACCAAATAAAATAAAACAAAATAAAAATAAAAACACCAGCGATACTTAGCTCAATCAAAGTAGGATTTGCCTCCTCTTTGCCTCCCTCGTGACTCCTGCAGGACTCTAATGTCTTTGCCAGTCTTACTCTTGCAGGACTCTAATGTCTTTGCCAGTCTTAGCCTGTCTGACGCTGAAGCTGACGCTCCAGGAAAGTGCTACCTAAAATGGACACCTTATTGCTGAGTTCTCACAGCTGTGGGGCAACGTCCTTTTAATTAGTTAACTCTGCAGCTGGTGGCCCTCAAAAGGAAATATAGACTGGCTTCCTCCTGATTTCTTATTGTCTTTTAAGTCAATTACATTAAACCCTAAGTTATAAAGTTATGAATTTAACCCTTAATACAGTTACACCTACTCAATAAAGCTCTTAGTATTCTACAAATGTTTAAATCAAAGTTAACCCTAGCAGTCAGTTAGTTCACTTTTAAGGTTTCAGTCAAATGACTTTTCCCAAGTTTCTGCCTGACAGATACTCTAGCGGTTTTGAGTTTTAAAAACACAATTCCAGTCAGATCAACTACAGAGCATTGATACAGAGTACACACACTGAAACAGAGAAGTCTACAAACACAATGTTACTCACACTATTCTAGAAGTCTCCAGTAGCTTTCTTGTCAAAATCGAGTTGCACACTGGCAGGTCAGTGGTTAGGATGAGATTTAAATACAGTTTCTGTTGGGGGAGTGGCCTCAGATCACAGCTGATGGGTCTCAATCGAGACTGGCTTCCTCCTGATTTCTTATTGTCTTTTAAGTCAATTACATTAAACCCTAAGTTATAAAGTGATGAGTTTAACCCTTAATACAGTTACACCTACTCAATAAAGCTCTTAGTATTCTACAAATGTTTAAATCAAAGTTAACCCTAGCAGTCAGTTAGTTCACTTTTAAGGTTTCAGTCAAATGACTTTTCCCAAGTTTCTGCCTGACAGATACTCTAGCGGTTTTGAGTTTTAAAAACACAATTCCAGTCAGATCAACTGCAGAGCATTGATACAGAGTACACACACTGAAACAGAGAAGTCTACAAACACAATGTTACTCACACTATTCTAGAAGTCTCCAGTAGCTTTCTTGTCAAAATCGAGTTGCACACTGACCACACTTTATCAATATGTTTATAGTGATTTCAATGTAATAATCTATATGTTGAAAAATTCTATTTTTGATCTATTTCAACATATAGATTAGTTGTATGTCCAAACAGTAATTAAATGCATGTGTACAGTGGTAAAATAAGTGTGTTAAAGATTCCAGGTCATAATTCCTAAAAAAACATTTTACATTTCTTAGAATTTGGAGGAGTATAGATACGTTGCATTATGGGAAACGTGTAGGATCTGATATTGTTAGCTCTTGCTCTATGTTTAATGCGTTTATCTTCTGGAGCAAAAGGTTTCACACCATGTAGAGTATCATTCTGCAAATTCCAGATCTCAGAGTTAAAGAGAAACATGACCTCCGTTTATAAGATCCAAGGAATGGATGGTCTGACAGTAACAGAAAAAGATGGATGGTGTTGAGGCTCCGTCTGTGTCTGCGGGACGTGTAAACACTGCAGGAATAGTCGGAAGCTCTAACTGTAAATGGTGCGGCAGCAGAAAGCTTTTCTCAACATGTGAACTAAGTTGGAAAAATGATCTGCTCACTAATCTAGCGAGGCATACTGCCCGCCCGCTGGCCCTGTGTTTGGGTTTCCTTCTCCGTGGGACAGACTAATGCCTGGCTGCTGTTGAGGTTTCACATTGTGTTCATCCCTCTCTGAAGAGAGCTGCTGACAGATGTTTGCTGCACTGAAAACTAGTCCAACTCCTCAAAGAGGCCAGCGTCACTACACTTGCATTTACCATTTTCCAAGAACACTCAAATCTTCAACAAAAAAATATTGGTGAAAATGTTGCAATGTGAACCCTTTGGAGTTTCCTGGTTTTATGCATGAATTGGGTCATTGAATGTGATCTGATCTTCAACTAATCACTATTATAGACTAACACAATCCGTTTGAACTAATTAGTTCAAACGGATTATAATAGCAAAACTCAAGTTTTTGAGTTTATTGTTCTTGTCCATTTTGAATAAATCATTCAATCATTCACTGTGTAGGTGAGACAAAGAGAACCTCTAGACTTTAACAAAAGCTAATTGAGTTAGGAGTAGGGATGCTCCGATCGCCAATTTTGGGCCGATCGCCGGCGATCGCCGGAATCAGTACCGATCGCTGATCCGATCGAGTGGGCGGGGCCTAAATGGAAGATTTAAACATCACTTTAAATCTTCCATTTAAAGTGATGTTTAAAACTCAGTGAATGGGGCTCATTCACTGGAGCTTCCACAAACAACAATCAACTTAATTATTACATTCAAATGATGTACATTATTCAAGTTTACATTAACTTTGGATAATAACCCGAGCGGAAGCGCTCTCTTTTCCTCTCTCTCCCTCTCTCTCCCTTTCTCTCTCCTGACAGCCTGTCAGTATCTCAGCTCACTGATCCAGTAATGAGTGACCCGACAGTGAAGAATAAATATATTTATAACTAGTTTAGCTTGTTCCAGAGGTAGATGAAATAGCTAAGTGTGTTAGGTCTAACTTTTGTGTGTTTCGCTCCGCTCACCGGTCCGGCGGGCGGAGCTGCAGGATTTCTGCTTTTTTGGACACCTTAAAATAATGCCAGACCGGTGAAGCCATTTTGGCGAGCTTGTTTTGCCGCGCTCAGAGAAAAGTGTCATGTATTTGTACGTCATGCGATCGGCTCTCGCGATCGGCATGTTTAGAGAGCACCGATCGATCGGTAGAGAGTGAGTATCGGCCGATATCGATCGGTGACCGATCAATCGGAGCATCCCTAGTTAGGAGTTATCAAACCTCATTTTAATCACTGAGACACGGTTAGAAGTGTTGAAGTGTCGAGCTACTTTGACTCATTGAAATTACTCTTACAATTTAATTTGCTATTCACAAGATGCATTTTCTGATGTGAACCGTGCTTTGCAAAAATAAATCTCAGAAGACCTACGATCAAGAAATATTGATTTGCACAAAGCTGGAGAGAGTTACAAAGTTAACTTCAAGAGTTTAGATATTCATCAGTCCACATTTTCTATACATGAAGACTATTTAGTACTGTGGCTACTCTCCCTAGAAACAGGCATCCAGCAAAGATGACTCCAAAGGCACAACGCAAAATATCCAATGAGGTGAAAAGTACTTGGAGTAACAGCTGAAGGCTTGTTGTTAGAGGTTATTACTGCCAAAGGACGTTCAACAAGTTAATACATCCAAGGGTTCACTTCCACCAGCACTGTTAATGTTTAACCCTAACCCTTAAATACATGAAAAAAAGTATTTATAAAAGTGTATGTGTTATTAGCTTAAGCACATTGTGTTTGTATATTGTGACTTACATGAATATGAGATCACATTTAATGACCAATTCATGCATAAAACCAGGAAACTCTCAAGGGTTAACATACTTTTTCTTGCCACTGTATATCAGATAGCAGTATATAAAGGATGTCTGTACAGTATATGTGGTTCTGACTGAGGCACATGTTGTGTGTCTCCTGCCAGGTGTGACCTGGGGGAAGGTGGTTTCTCTGTACGCTGTGGCCGGAGCCTTGGCAGTGGACTGTGTTCGCCACGGACACCCAGCCATGGTTCATACCATCGTGGACTGCATGGGGGAGTTTGTGCGCAAGAGCCTGAGCTTGTGGTTAAAAAGGAGAGGGGGCTGGGTAAGGGGATCGTCTTCTTTCAACTTTACGTGTCTGAGTGTTGCTGATGGAGTAAATCGAGTGACTTTATTTCCTCTGTTGTAAACTGAAGGTCGTGTATATGGAAGTCCAGGGCGGACTTTATTCAAATGATAATGTACAATTACAAACAAGAATGTGATTTCACAACACTATAGTGCTTGTGAAAATCTTATTTTTCAATGCATTATAAGATTATATACAATTTGCATTTCCACATACTGTCCAAATAAAAATGATCTAGCAATTTCACATTACATTTCCAACGTTCAAATATTATTTCAAATTTGAAGATTTAAATGCAATGTAAGTAATATAAAATCAAATCAAATCAAGTTTTATTTATATAGCACATTTATAAAAGATTTTTGGTCGAGCCAAAGTGCTGTACATATAATAAAAATAGCCTACAGTAGAGACACTTTACAGCAAATACAACAGCACAGATTGTTCAGAATATCAGTATGAGAAAAAACGACACCCTCTGTCCTCAGACCCTCTGTCCTTAGACCCTCTGTCCTTAGACCCTCTGTCCTTAGACCCTCACATCGTACAAGGAAAAACTTCCAGAGAAAACCCACAGTTTAAAGGGAACATGGGAGAAACCTCAGGGAGAGCAACAGAGGAGGGATCCCTCTCCCAGGCAGAGTCCTGCACGGGTCTGATTTTCAAGACCCGCTCCCGCTCCCGCCCCGCACCCGCGATGTGCAATACCGAACCCGCCCCGCTACCCGCACATATTGCCAATTAGTTCCGCAACCCGACCCGACCCGTCGGCACAAGATCCGCAACCCGACTCGAACCCGCATAGCCTATATATGAGCAGTGAAAACGTGCAATTATTAACACACGCAGTTGCATATTTGTCTCAAAAAGCGTGGGATGTTGGTTATTTTCTCCATCTAGGATGACACCAAAAGCCTCCCAGACGTTGGATTTCGCTCTTGAGGAAGTGTTATTGAAAATGCTGTATTCTCCGCTAGAGAGCTTCACCTCAGCCATTTCGAATGTGGCGCGCACAGCAGCAGATTGATGCGCTGCAGAGGTTATGATTATGTGCGGTCCCGCGGGGGAGAGGTCTGAGGATTTTAAACATTAAACAAAATTATTATTATTTTAATATATTTATTATGCAATACCCGCGACCCGACCCGCATCATCTTTGTTTTACCCAGAACCGAACCCGGAAAAAAGCGTTTAAAAAAATACCACCCGCGAATCACCTTTTTTGTGGGTACCCGCGGGTACCCGACCCGATGCAGGACTCTGCTCCCAGGACAGACAGACGTGCAATAGATGCCGTGTGTAAATCGAAGAGATAATACATTTTACAGCATATAGACCGAATGTTAGGAAATGCATGTGTCTGTAATAAGAAGATGAATCCACGAGGATGTCAGCTACAATCCTGTGGAAGCCATCAGGGAAGCAGCATGACGAGACCCAAGGCAGGACCGCAGAGACAGGTTCAGCCACGACCCGAAGTCCACGACTTAATCCAGAACTCAGGATAGAGGATCCAAGACACAGGACTACAGCAAGAGGATCAGCCTCGACTCCGGATCCCGGCGTAGATATAGATACAAAACAAGAAAAAAGATTTGGCTGGGTTAATCGGAACCAGAGAATACACAGACACAGACAGAGAGGGAAAAGGTCATTGGATAAAAGTTATTCTTGATAACCCTCTAGAAAGATCTCATGAACTTCCCCACTCAATCTATCAAGACCCGAGCAGTTCTGTTAGATATAGGATAAGAAACAGAGAGAGGGAGCACAACAACCTATCTCTTCGTCAGATGCACTCCCCCGCTTATCTAAGCGACTCTGTACCCCGTTACCCTCTACAAGGCCATAGACCAGCAGAGGGACCGTTACCCTCTTCAAGGCCATAGACCAGCAGAGGGACCGTTACCCTCTTCAAGGCCATAGACCAGCAGAGGGAAAATGGGGGGTGGGTAAGGGTAAGGGTTTTTAAGAATAAACCGCAAGGGTCTAAAGGGAAAAAATATGAAATATAAGGTACTATATTTTAAATAATCCTATCTACTATTCCTATATTCGAATAATGTATAAACTATTTTAAAAATACTTTATGAAATCCTATGTTATGTTATAAATATTAAAATAAAGAACTAAATGAATAAATAAATAATTAAACAAAAGCCAGAGAGAAAAAGTGAGTTTTAAGTGTTGATTTAAAAATCTATTTAATTGAATATACTTTCTTATAATATAAAATTAAAACAGCAATTGACATTTTTTTTTTCAAAGTCATATCTTACTGTAGAATGGACAATATTCTAATGTAAGGTCAAATGTTTTAATTAAAATGCAGTAAAAACACTGTTTGTACATTTTCGTTAAATGTGCATGTATTTAATCAAATAACATCTACACATGTGGAAATTATAAATGTCATTTCCATTTTGAAATGACCTAATCGCTATAATAAGGTCCGCTGACATACAATTTACTCTCAATCAACTACAGTAGTAATTAATTGATTACTGCAGTAGCTCGTATGAGGATGAAACCACTTGCACAGCTTCAGAACAGAACTCTTCTGTATAGTACTGTTAATGGGAGAAGCCTGTCCTATAAAATCCTGCAGAAACAAAAAGAAGGAACCAGAACAGAACAAGGCCTGGCAGTGTTCCTCTGTGTTCTGCTCTGATACGGAAACAGCACAACAAGGGAACAAATGTGCCCTCACTCAGACTCATGGCACTGAGTCTGTCATGTTTGCAAGAGAAGTGGAGGGGGACAAAATGAAGGGCAGCGCATTGTATAACTGACCTCTTGAGGCTCAAATGAGGAACTCTAACTGTAATATTTCTACACTGGGAGATAATGTCAGCATGCAAAGCTAAATAAGATTCTGTGATATGAAGGATCTTAAGAGGGAGACATGTTTAGTGTCAGAGCTGACACTAAACTCTGCTCTCTGTGGAATCTCACTGTCTATGGAAGACTTTTTGAGTAGATCAGTATCAGTAGATTTTTAGAAGTAAAACTTGCTGAGATTACAGAGAGGGCTTTGGCTTTGAAATAACATATTTGTGGGCACATCTCCTCATTGCATTCTGAGAATGTCGACAAATGAAAAACACATGTGGGATTTATAAGGGCTCTCTGTTGAGTGTATGTTCCAAATTCCACAGTCTGTATTCAGTTCTGTGTCCTCTCTGCTCTTCCAGGTGGATGTTACAAAGTGCGTGGTGAACACTGATCCCAGCTTCCACTCCCACTGGCTGGTGTCTGCCACTTGTGCCTTTGGACACTATGTGAAGGCCACCGTGCTGTACCTCCTGAGGGAGAAGTGAGAGACAAGGTCCCACACTGGATGAAGCACTCTAAGCAGCACTCTGAGCAGCACTGTACACCAGCAGCACTGCTTTGGATTATGTTTACACTCATCTGCACTGAGCCTTCATGGATGAACACCCAGGCCTTCATGAGGACTCTGTTGTTCTTTCTACATTGTATATTTATTGTTAACGGTTATGTTATGGCACACGTTTGATTTGAATGTATAAATGACACAACGTTTTTAGCTTTACATTTTCCCTGCACTTTTTATGCTGTGGTTTGAATCCCTCTAGTGGTTGAAACGGTTACTACTGTAAATAGATGACATCTTGTTTTTTCACTTCTCACCTAGATGGCCTTTATTGACCAACAGGTTAGTGTATGCTGGGTAAATGTAAAATACAACATGATTTCCTCTTACTAAGGGACAGTAACAAATATATTATTTTCAATAGTGAAACACGCAGCGCTCACTCAGACAGTACTTCACAATCAACACAACTTTCTCTATTGGTGGCGAAGTCCCTCCCCTTCCGGTGGACCTCCATGGAACCTTATTTCGAAAAAAATATATGTATTGAAGTCAATGGAGAGAGAAAGATTATCTTTCGATCCCGTTTGAATTGTGCCACGAATTACACATGATGTTTGTCAATTTAAAAGATAATTTTGCAAGTCAAACTGTGAAGTAACACATTTGTTTGTGTGAAACGCTCAATGAACTACATCTCTGGTCTCGCAGAACAACACACGTCACCAAGATGGCCGTTGTCGGTACACGATGTGTTCGGGGTACACGATGGCTGCTTCTCAGGTCGACTATTTTCATTTCCTCGCTCCTCGCTCCTCGGTCCTCGGTCTCACCGGAAGTTGATTTGTCTGCGCCATCTTGAGTAGGCTACCGTCCCATGGCTCTTATTTCTGCCGGAGGACCGAGGAGCGAGGAGCGAGGAGCGATCATGGAGGAGCGATAACCGAGGAACCACCAGACCATCCTCCGATGAAATCCTCAGATACTCACCCCGCCCCCTTACTGTGTATCGCTCACTGATTGGACGATGCAGGCATGCACTGATCTGATGCTTCTTGACATGAGAGCAGTTTCCCAGCAGAGTGAAGAAAATACATGAACCTCACGGGAGTCACTCCTCAGTTTATACCGTGTTTTGTTTCAATTCATGTATCATTTAATTACAAATATCTGATATATCTGAACAACAAAGTGGTCAAAAATCATTTAATTCATTTTTTGGAAACATTTTCATGATCGCTTTTTTCGTTTTACATTTTCATTTATTGTCATTTCCATTCAGTCAGTCATTAAGTGCTATTGAAATGTTAATTTACTACATATCCACACAAACAAACAAAGTGTGCAATCCAATGAATGTTAATCTAACTGGGTTTTGATAGATAACATATCTCTTTTTCTTCTCTCAATTATTTTATTTCTATTGTGCACTCTAATCAATATTAATCAAACTATTGTTCGTTTATAAATTTTAAGAATGGCGTTTATCTTTTTTGAGAATTAGTTCTTATTTTATTTAATTTTTTTGGGTCTACAACAGATGATACAAATGTTTGTGTCAGTAAATGTGTACTAACAGAGGCGGGGGGGGGTGTGTGGAAATAACGGGGACAGAGCTGCTGTCAGACGATCAGCTGTGCAGCGTCATCACAAACGGACGTCGCTTCACGTGACGCTCCGGAGGAAAGGACGTCCCATTGCTCTTAAAACTCATTTCCCTGCTTCTCGTGGTTTCCTTGCGTCCCTCCATGCTTCCCTGGTGGGAGGGACTAAACGCAGGGAAACGACGCAAGTGAGGGAAGCAAGGATTTCATTTAATCGACCTGAGAAGCAGCCGATGTGTTCGGGTGTATTTCCGTCGCATCCGTCATATTGTACGGCAACTCACCGCAACTCACCTCCCTCTGCTCCCAGCGCTCTGCTGCCACACACCGGCCGTCTGCGGAACTGCAGCCGGAGGAACTCGGGACAGCTTGTTATGTGTGGGGTCCTATGGTGGGGTCCCAAAACTGACACGGGAAATAGATTTAAAAGAAAGAAATAATAATAATAATATTAATAATAGGAACAGTGAAATACAATAGAAATGAATACTAATTTAAGTATGACACATTTATGTACTAATTTTTATTTCTTGATCTGTAATGTAGATATTTGTTTGTCAGTATATCTCATTTACTTTCCTTATTCATTTATTTTTTCATATGTTTGCATGTATTTATTTACACATTCACTGTTTATACTTATTCCCGCATTTGGACCTTTTTTATATTTATGTACTTGTGCACATAAATAATGTTTCTATTTATTTACAATTAAAATATATATATATATTCTGCGTTACTTTAGCCAACACTTTTATAAGGCCACTAGATTAGATCATTACGAAATGTGTAGATAGAATACATATCTTTCAGGTTGTTATTTTGTCATTATGTTTAATGTTTTATTTACCTTTTAGTATTTTTTCTCAATTAAAAAGGAATTCTTTAAAACTCCAACAATGTGTTTATTTATTTTAAGATTTAAATAATGACACAGTAGATGTGTTTTTTTGGATGTTAAGAATCCTTGAAGACCACTCTGAACATAATGTAGGTAGTTTCTTTGTTTAGTTTTCATCTAATGCCAAATGTAACTCCACATATACAAACAGAGGACATTCAGAGGAAGGGTAAAAACATTGAGATAATAAACAAGCATCAATCTTTTGTTAACATCCAGTTTTATTTGAGAATTGGATATTTCAAAATGTTCCTACACCATCACTAGAGACTGGACACAGGGTGTGGTATTAGTAGCTACGTTTACATTCAGTTGGCACAAACCACTAGGATTTACAAAACAGCTGTCGTATTATTGCTGCACGGAAACAAAAACAATACAAGGTGATCTGTTTCAACAAACACAGTAGCATCGTATGTCTGCACGTCTTTACCCACAAATGGGTTAAAACATTTACTTTAACAAGAGCAAACAAAGAGTCACATTTGACCAGTTTCTGTTGTAGTAGTGTTTATGTACTATCATTAAGCCACGGTCAGGTTTGCAACAAAAACGATAATACCTTATGTTTAAAAATGAAGCTTTTTGGCATTTCATGATTGTCTGGGTTTCTTCCAAGCTTGTTGTGAACTCTCCCTAATTGTATTGTTTTTCATCACCTCCTTTGATCAATAGGGAGATGATAACACTAACGCTCAATTCAAAGTGACAAAAAACATTCGGTCCTCAAGTTGTAAAATGTGCTAATAACATTATTCTGAGAGTTATTTCCCTCTGCATTATGAACGCGCATCTAACCCATGGGACCGCGCTGCCCGGCACGTTCAAGTTACGTGTTCAGTACTACATGCGTTTTACCTTTACCGATGGATGCACAATAAGAACGGACCATATCACCTTACTGCCAGTGAGCCCACGGAGCTGTAATAATGGATATATTGCACATTGCTGTAGGATTTAGCAGCCTGGTATATTACACAATTTTAGCGGCATATATATATATATATACACATGGTTGGTATTTAACAAAAAGGGGTGTTATAGTCTGTGTTGTAGTGTGTGATATTGGTATTTATGGAAACATTTTACACCTTTCCTTCAAGTATTATACATTTTTGTTACTTGTGGGGTACTTAACATGAATAATCACAGTTACTATCCTTTTACTCCATCACATTTCAAAGAGAAATAGGCTATTGTTATTTTAACTCCACCACAGTAATCCATCATCAGCTTTACTTTTTAGATAAGATTTAACTCACAATTGATCATAACAGGCTTCAAAATACATACATTTTTATATATTACCAAGTGGTTTCATGTACAACCCACACAAGTATCATGCTAAATTAAGCTCGGTTGCTTGGATATCACTAGATCCTGTTATCAGCGTAATATAAAAGTACATAACGATCAGTGGCGGCCGGCCCATAGGGGCGCCGCCCACCTCTTACCACATTCAACAAACAAAACAATTAAATTAAAAAAAATATATTTTAAAAAAAAATATTAAAAAAAAATATATTTTATATTTATATTTTATATTTATATTTTTAATGAACAAGGTAAATATCATACAATTGGTATCAGTAAAATGTATAATCTACAATAAAATCTCGTTTAAAATTGTGTTACGATGTCTAAAGTTACTGATAAGTCACATGTTTCCTGCCTGGCCTTGCCCGTGGCATTAGTTTATCATTACCGGGCGGAGCCCCCGAGACAAACAGCAGCAACCAGCTCGTTGCAAAAGTCTCAATAGTAAACTGTGCCGCCTAAACATAATTTCAGCCAATCAGCGCCGTCAAATATTTTGTTCACGAGGGTGCTCACGTTGGCGCCCACGTTGCTTACGTGACGTGAGTTGTTTTTTAGACTCGTGAGTGACCAAGGTGACGCAGTATTTAGAATGGTGTGCAGGTGGAGTTGCCGGACCTCGTTCCGCACCCAATTCCGTGCAAGAGCTAATCTCCAATCCTTTCCAAAGGAGAAGTTTGGGAGATAAATTGATACTTAAAGACCTTGGACCGGACCAACCCGATTTGTATATATCACAGCAAGCTCGTGATAAAGACAAAACGTATCAACGAGGCTAGCTGGATGCAAACGATGCAAACAGGTAAATGCTATCTTTTGTTTCCCATGCTTGCTCTTCAAACAGCCGGGGACAGATACGATCTGTTCAGAAACTAGACAAAAGTTAAACAAGTACAAACCACAGACTGTCTGTGTCATGGAGAATACAGTCGCTGGTTTATTTATGTCTGTATAGGCCGTTGTTGTGAGTGTGGACGGTCGGAACATATATAACGTTAGCTTAGCCAAGCTCCATTCAGAAAACAAGCATTCTAAAAGGTTTTTCGCCTGCCGTCTGTCTGCAGACTTGTCAAAGCATTAATTCATGGTTTTTACTAACCGGTATCAGTATGTTGTTACGTCGGCATCATTTAGAAACGTGTATTACAATTTAATCACGGTAAAATATGTTCATTTTGTTGTAGGGCTGTGCAATTAATCGTATTTTAATCGCGATTATGGCTTGCGACGATTATGAAAACAGCATAATTGACAAAATACGATTATTTTGCTGGGTGCGCTTTCGCCCCTCCCTAAAAGCCCACTCGGCCACGTGGGAGTGACATGTGTTGTGACGGCCCCTACACACGGCGGCGTGCGTTGCCGCTTGGCAGTGGGCGTGTCTTGAGCTTGGGGAATTTAAGCGAGCAACACGACCAACAACCAATCACATGAATCTCTCCTGTCAATTGCATAAAAAGTTTTACATGTCACACTTTATATGATGAACATTTATGACATTAATGTCTATGGTGCTATTTTACGCAACATTCCATGCTGGCTAAATACTGTCTATGTCTGCTAGCTGTCCATTCAAACGAAGTACACTGGATCTCCCCAAACAGGCGAACACCTACCAGTTTCACCCACTATCTCTGCAACCTCCCTCCATGCCTGGCTCCTCCGGTTTGTAAGAGAACATTGCTCTACTTTTGCAGCGAGCACCGCGAGAAAAGCTACGCTTTGCTCCCACAATGCAGTTCAGCGAATCGTGACGTCACCCCATTCAAAGTGAATGGGCAGAAGCGTTGAAGCGGCAACGCACGCCGCCGTGTGTAGGGGCCGTGAG